CACACTTTAATGATTCACCTTAGCAACTTTACTTTTTAAAACAGCTTACTATCCCTTGTAAACATTTTTCCTACCTCAATATTGGTTGGTCATCGTATGCCTACAACCACGGGTTGAAAACGAAACGAAGTCGATTTTCCCACGCAACCTGGAGGACTACTGTACAATTCAATAATCATACGGCCTGGGTCAGACAATGAGTGTATTTATATATATATCAAATATTTAGCTGTTCAAACATTATTAACTTATAGACAATCTGCTACTTGACATTATATGATGCTTGATCGTGCCTGTAAAAATGGCATGCATTTTCGTGCAAATTTATGTTTATATGAAAATATACATGATTATTACTTTTTGGTACTCCATCGTGTCACGTTCGTGCATGATCACTAGTCAGTTAAGCAATCATCTCGCAATACGGTTTGGTCCCGAAATATATCTCTTAATTTGGATGATCAATTCTGTTGTTTTGCTTTGCCTTTGGTACACGAACACTATAGAAGTTGTTGGTATAAGCTCTTGCGTTAGTATACGCCGTACAATTCTCGAACGTCAATACCGTCAGCCTCTAAAGGCCTTTATGTCATTAATACGACTAGTAATATCCTGTAAAGTTGTGGGACCAGCACTGGACTCTGAAGCTGCAACCTTCTTCTCCTCCACAGACTGCGTCGTCGTCTGTGGCGTACCAATCAACAACGGATTGTTAGCTGCTTTCGTCGGTAATTATCTCTTAACACTGATATCTGCACAATTTAATGGATTTAAAGAGGCAGAAGGTTCTAAATTCAAACGTATACCTCGCGTTTTCATTCTAGTTTATCAAACCTATTAATTGAAACGCTACTGCCTTCACTGCTGTAGTAGTTTCTAGCATTCATTGCCTAATTTTGTTTTCATGCATTTAGCGTAGTATGTTTTTCATTTTAACATATGAAGGATTAGCACTATGATCACACTGTAACAGTATGGTGAAGTTGTGTTTCAAAGAGTCTTCATACTGAGGAGAGATGTGGCTTCCATGTGATTCCGGTTTCACTTAAATAATTAGGCTTATGTGCGAAAGAAAATTACCACCTCAGTGGGGACAAGGACAAGTTGCTTCTAGGTTGTAGAAGACTTAATTTCACAGTTTATTGATATAAGTACCACTGAGCACTAAGTTGCACCACACTTCATACGAATTAAGAGATTACAAATGCCTAGTTCCACCACATGAAAGTTAACAGCACATATGAATTGCTTCACAAGAATCTTACTTTTGAGTACAGTAAGGACTAATAGATTTTCGAGCTCAGTCTTATGTAACTGGAGTTGTGGAGAATATTTGTAGACGGCTGAAATTATCCCGCATGCTCAAGGTCATTGATGGAGTGAGACGCTCAAAGGTCATTTTCGTCCAAGTTAGTGGGTAATGTTGGATTGCAGTTCCATAGCCGTTCGTTTACACATTGGTTTTATGTTCTGTTGGCATTTATAGGTGATTCCCATGTACTGATAGCATTCTTTTGTAAAATAGTACTGTTCTTCACACGAAAATAGCCACATTTTGACGTATTCTTCATTGAATGACACTATGTCGAAAGCTGCAGCTTCTACAAGAAATAAACTATTTGTGTAGATGACATTACCCACCAACCACCCCATCTTCTTCATTGTAGAGATGTTTTGACGCATTCAGCATGAAACACTAATCATTACAACCAATATGCTAAGTGTGTCGCAGTCAGATTAAATGACGCAGACACCAACATAACTAGCCAGGAAATGAGAATTCCTATCAATCCAGAAAACATACAACAAAATTTTATTAAAAACTATTGACAAAACAAATTTGCCGAGCGAAATTTCAACCAACATGCCGGATAAGTCCAGCCTTTGTAGACCCCTATAGTAGTGCATTTGACTTGCAGGCTACATAGTTGAGCAAAGAATTTGAATTTCGCTGAATCTTATGAACTTACTGCGTAGATGTGTTGCTCATCAAGTATGCATTTGGAATTTATTGAAGGATGCAATCGTGCTTCAGGTATAACGTACAAGAATTGTTGTTATTCCTTCTTCAAAAAGTTCACCATTTACTGAATTTACAAAACTACAATGACCATTTCCAACTCTAATGGGGAAAATTAACTGGGACTTTCGAAAAAGGTGTATGTAAGTGTATTAGTTTCATAAATCAGAATGCATTCTATTCACATGACGCAAAAACCACACTATGAGGGGATTCATTTTTCCAAGAGGGAAATAATACGAGTCTCATTCCTGCAATTATTCTTATTTCAGGTTAATTTCACCATGCATACAGTATCAGAATAGTTATTAATTTACCTAAATGACCTACCGGGGAACAGTCTCGTCAACGTAGTATATGTTGATGATATTGTCCTCCTAGGCTTCGAGGCACGGCCATCGAAGATGGAGGATATAAAAAGATTACCTGTTTTTGATCATGCGTGTCTGTGCTCTATCTCCTTGTTAAATGGTATGATGTGAATAGTAGTACTGAGGCTAGACGGCCAGTGTTAGGTGAGGAGGATGAGTCGCTTGATGAGGTTATGAAACTAAGTCGATTGAGATGGCGAGGACACGTACTGCTAATGTCAAGAAATCGCGTTGCACAACCTGCAGTGTTGGCCAACATATGATTAGGTTGAGGACTTAGGGTTACTGTAACCAAAACCTGGTATCATTGCACGGAATAAATGACAGATATTTTGAATGACTATTAAACAGGTGACTCTGAGGCGTTATCAGTCACACAAATGAGTTCATTCTTTGTGATCTCCCATATCCATTCAACCAACATTTTACCTGGCTACTCCTCTTTTTCACATTTTCGCTCATTATAGTCGTGCTTAATTTACTTTTCCCTCTCTTTCTCCTACCTTTGTATGCCACACGGAATGTGGAAAATTAAAACAGTTAACTTCGGTTCTAATTTCTATGCTGAAACTCAGTCAGTCGGCATTTGTCTCTGCATCTACCTAATGCCACACCTCACTGCAGTGCTGATAGGTTTAGAAGCCTACTAGTACAGATACCCAAGTAATTTTCTCATTTTCTCAATTCACTAAGTTGTCCATATAAGCTGCACTGAAGAAGAAACAATGAATCAGAACAGTAACATGACGACAATAGCTAGTAGGAATCGAGGTGAGTGAGATGAGCGAGTTCCTGTTGTCCCTGTTGTACACTTATCTTAAACACTGATCTTTTGAGTTACAACATGCGATGAGTGAGACGTCCTAAGGTGACATGGAGGAGATCGTCCGAAGAGGAATTGAAACAGTATGGATTAACATGGACGCAGGTGAAAAGTACAGCAGAAGACAGAAGCAAGTGGAGACGTGTAGTTGAAGCCCTATGTTCCACTATGAACCCAAGGGGACAATAATAATAATAGTCTTCGTAGACATTCCACAAGATGTTGTGATTCGAAGTGTCTGCAAGCAGCTTTTCAATACATATTAGCACAGTGTTATTCGTGCAAAGCCTTGAAATTATTTACATCAGATTAGGCCACAGTAAGTATGATTATATTGGTGACTCAATGACATGCGAGATTTGTAGAAGTTGCTGTGAAGTATGCCTGCAAAGCATTCCTTGCATAATAAACACAACTCACTATCTTTTCACTGCGCTGATAGATACGTGCTGACCTCGTCGTATTAGTTTTTGGAAATATTTTGACTAAGTGCTGATAATTGTGCATATTACGAAGTACTACTCTTGATTTATGACAGATTTTACAGCGTTCGTGATAAATGCCAATTCATAGCTTTAACCGTTTGCACACAAACAACATTCATGACTTTTTCGCTTAGGTGATGCTTTAATTTTCGAAGTACCGGCTTGTTTTACGTAAGCACCTGTTTCAACTCTATGGTGTAGACGCCAGATATCTTTACTTACCTATCACGATGGTGTTTAGGAAGTTCAAATGCAACAAAGACCCAAAATATGTTTTGGTGCGCTTTTACGTAAGGATTCTGAGGGAAAATAAAAGATACTGCAAGTATTCGTAAAACATTACGTCATTTTCATTAAAAGATCATTATTTTTCTCTTCTATCCACGGATTCCATTGATCTCAGCACCTAAAACACCACAGAAAAGTGCAGAATCACGAATGAGATAGTTATTGTATTTTTACGTCTCTGCATTTGGGCTGATCGGAAAGTGTAGGGCCGAGTACAGGCTGCTATCAAGCTGCAAATAAATCTTTCAAAAGTCAGTCGCCAAAATGTACATGAAGCATACCATATAGTCGTTGCTTGAAACACATTATTTAAGCGTCCTGCTACAAAAACAAAGCATCCATACTTGGGAACAGTATCGGACAATCATTCCTATACAAACTAACGCAATAAAAGCCAAACAAACATCAAAATCATGAAAGCTGCATCTACCTGGACCGAACGAAGCAAACTATCCCCCACCTGAATCAACTTAACTGTGCAATTACCCGAAAGATGGAGCACGTAGCGTCATTCTGATATAAGTTTATGCCATGTAATTTGCCCTAAATTTGATTTAACTCACTACTTGGTCCTCAGCTTTAGACCAAGTTTTGGATGTCTTACCCAAAGAAGCATTTAAAATGAATACTCTGCCTAGTGTTTTTTCTCTTAGTGTTATTGTACTATGTGCAAGAGATTTATAGTGTTATCGATTTATATGGTTCTCAGTTTCTGAAAGCAGTAACTTTTAACTTCGTCTTAGATGAGTAAAAGTCTTTCTTGTATGGACTCAAAAAATTTTTCACTAAAATTCGTTGTGGTTTCATTAAAATTGATTACCTGAGAAAAACTTCTAAAGAAGGCTTTGTTAACTAGTGCTTAGCACGATATTTATCTCATCCTTAACGTCTCCGAATATTGTAAGATCGAGGTGACCCACACAGGATATGTTTTACTTATTAAACTTTGGGACTTTAGTTGGCTAGTAATTAATTTGTTTTTATACATCGTTTGTGTATACGCTCAATTTGCGCACATACCCAAAATAGTAAGGATGCGCGGGTTGTTGATATCTCAACAAAACAGCGGTGTGATTTTGAAAGTCAAGCCAGTAAATAACCCCAAAGGGTGAGTATGAACGTTCGGGAAATTTATACAGTAAAACTATTAGCTTCCTATTGAGACATTTGAGAGGATTTATTGTGCATGTAGTGATACGTCTGATAATAATCTCACCTCTTATGGAAAAGCTTGAATAATTTTCTAGTGGGGAATTTACGTTTCTGAATACTGTGTTAACGTATTTTTACACAGTATGCGCAATTGTGCAACGATAAAGTTATCAGTATACTGAATCACTAGTGATATCCAAATTTAAATAACTTGAGACAAAAAATGGGTGAATAATGAACAAACAATGGCCATAGCCAGTAGTAGTAAATTGGGCTAGTACTTATACATGGATAAATGTTTCCCACTTTACCGGTCATTTAACTTCCGTTGGACCAATATTTTCTTGTTTTCTTCATTATTCATCTACTTTTTCCCCATTCTATCTATTATCAAACCCTTGTTGAACCAATATTTTCCATTAAGTGAACACCCTAAACCGATAATTATTTTACCCTCATAATAACGCTTGTTTACCCAATAGTTTCTCACTGCAACTACTACTCACCCATTATTCGTGGACTATCTTCCCATTTTACTTACTATTTAAACGTTGGTTAACCCTTTTGAACTCCTTTTGATCCTTTATTTAGCCACCTTTCTCATTCTACCTCTTATTTAATCACAAATTCTCAAACAATACTACATTCCATAACATGATTTTAATACTTGGGAAACGTTTGTTGATATCTAGATTAATAATTGAATATTTTAGCATAACAATACAAAGCAGACATTAAAAAACATCGCAGTGCGTATAACCGCGTTCTTTATTTTTCATATTTTTGAGAATTACATGGTGAGCTATAAACATAACAGATAAAATCCAATTAAACGATGAAGTTATTATTAGTGGGTTTGAAGACATTGAAATTTATATAGAAATGGCTTACACTGACAGCATTTTGTAAATGACTTTTGAGATCTAAAATAAATGGATACGAAATCAAACAATAGTGCCTAATTTAAGGCATCACGTTATGATTAGAAAACATTTCAGAAATTAATTCCATTGTACTTATATTAAAAAGTATTGTAAGCACCTAAAAAAAACAGTAGTCCCTGTTTGTTAGCTGGCATACTTACACGGCATGTGATTCCAAATCGCCCAGTAGGCTTCCTGAAGTGTCTTCAGAAAATAAAATGTAAAGAACAGACTGGCGAAATTTAATCATTACATAAACAGTAGGAATGACATTATTCTAAGTCCCGTGTAATACAAATAATTGTAAAATATTTCAGTTTATGTGAGCAGTAATGATAACATTCGGTGTGGCTTTAGCGGTATGTTCTGGCGAAGGAATTTGATAACTAAATAACATACTGAAAGTCGTTTTCGCATTTGTTTGTTATACACGATTGCAAAGATCCTTTAGCGGTTGATTGGAATGAAATTAATGAGTCATTTTATGATTATTATGTAATTAAGTATACTTGCTTTCTTGGTGTTTTAATTGTTGCGCAGTCTCGATTGTCGCGCAACTAATCTTCCGAGACTGCAATAACTTGATCCTGAACTTCCTTTGTCATCGACGAGGTGAATTTTCTGACAATAATGACTAAAGATTTAATTTAAAAGCAATTGTTTTACATAAGAGCACCTGATAGAAGGGACAGTTTTAAGGCTGACCTCACTGGGGTTCCGTAAACAGCATGACAGCGAGCGAAGCCAGGTGCGAATATAAAATTCAGGAAACATCTAGGTGACGCTTCAGCATTTTGCCTAAGCTGACGAGACATTTTAGTAATATGAATTGAATAAGCCTAGAAATGACAACTTACAAATAGTTCTTTAAACTTGGTGTTTTCCAAATATGCTTCGGGCATCTCTACCTCATTTTCTGTCGTCAGAGGAAACTCCAAATTATTTCCTCAACGAGGTCCTTGGGACTAGCCTACGAAGAATAGTCTTATGCTTTAAATGAAATACATGTGTCCCCTAACATTATTGTTTTATTTCGGCCTTCTAAAATAGGTTAAAAACTGCTGCACAGTTGAAATTTAGTATTTTAATAAACATCTCCTTGGTATCATCATTACAGGAAGGCCTGAAAGAAACTAATTGAAAGTGTCGAAACCTGCGAATTCGTGGTTTAGTATGTAGGTAGTGGTGTCAAGGTTCGGAGTGGCAAAGGTTTCATGGAAGCGCTAAAGAACTGTTTACATAGGACACCTCTTTTACGTAGCTAAAGGTGACTACAGGCTATCCATGAAGTTGGTAGTAAGATACTCTTGGGGCCGCATTCTCTTCTGGACTCGATGGTCTCCTCTATTGAGTTGTAAGCGTAATAAGAACAGAAGTATCTGTTTTGTTTGATACTGTTATGATACTAAATCATCTTTAAGTTCATACATGTATTCGTTCCAGCCTATTGCGATGAGGTTGTTAAATACGGCATAAGTCGGGCAGAAAAACGCTTACTATATAACTCCGGAGAATTTAGAGTTTAAATGAGTAATACAAGGGAAGTAACTTTATGATACTGTGTCAGATTTAGCTAACGAAAAATGTGATATTTTTATGCACAACTTGAAAAATATGGCTATGTAGTTGAATTACGTATTGTAATATGTTTTCCGCAATTTAAACTACGGTGGTTTGTAACGCCCTATTTTAAATTTTGGATATCGTGTTTAATCTCTTCTAGAGCGAACCACATTGTTTATTTACTATTTTTAGCGAAATTATTTCAGTATTTTCGTCGAAATCTGGTCCAGTTGATAATAGCTTATCTGTGAAACCAAGTCAGATTTCTGCCTATAATTTTGCTGCTGGAGGTTACAAACTGTATCTCGCTTTGAATTCTGGTTCTTTATATTGCCTAGACTTTGTGAAAAATTGGTAAATTTTGTGTAACTTTAATTAAAAAATACGACCAGGTATCGATTGTTAACTTCACTGAATTGCACTGTTACAAGCATATGTTCATGTGAATCATTTGGATATGTACTAGTTTGCGTGAACGACAACAGTATCATAATCTTAGATCAAGGTAATATTTTTTTAACCATTATTTCAATTTTTCTGATTGGTAGATTAAAAAAGCAATTCTCTCACTGAAGACTTTACCAACGATAGATATTTTGCACTTAAATAATCGGATGGTACATCGTGAACTCATTGTTTCAATTAGATGCACTGAAATTTTTTCATCTGACACTTTAAATTATGCACACTAATCACATTGGATGATAATGAACTCTTCATTTCATCGTTTGAAATGATGTTTAACGACACTTCCAGTATCTGCATTATTTTGTACTGCAGTAATTAGCCGTTGTCTTAATAAAGTTTTTTATTTGTCATATTTGATGGCTAATAGCATAAAATAGGTTAATTAGTTCCTTAAGCACAAGATTAATAGTGAAGCAGAGTTTGGACGTATTCATTTAATGTTACATACTTTAAGCTGTCAAGCGTATTTATTACTATTCTAGTCATTTACGTCCGAGGGGGATAAAGGGCTTCAAGCTTTAAGCCTTGGAGTTTCAGTAGCAGTGGTATTTTTTGGGTGGAGTTGATAGTCTCAAGCCAACTTTCCCCCTCCCCTCTTTATCAGGTTTACTACCGGCTAAGCGAGTGCATCGGCCAGGGGTCGGACCCAAAAATCAAGAGTATTTAGTGTATTCTAAATATCGTAGTAATACGATTATTCGGTAGTCATCTGCTGCGCTTTACCAATTTTATGACTAGCCAAAAGAATCCACGTTCTATGTATTGGGTTTAACTTGTTCAGATTCTCTCAATGATGTGTTTGAAGAGAATAATTTGCTAAAAATTTGATGTTAATCATTCTGCTTGGTCTATTACCTTGGAATTGAAATCCATGTGACACAGTGAAGCATATATCAGTAGGTGTTGCTATGTTCATTGGAGAAGAAATCAGTTATCTGTTCGTTGTGTAGTTACATTTGTCGTTGCAAACAAATCTTTTTTGACAATTAGAAAATCTTTTTGTGTCGTTGTATTCTTTTGTTCTTAGAGCTTTCCACAAAGAAATTTGAATTTGAAGTATATAATGAATAAATTACTGAGTAATGAAAGAAAATAGTTTTTCAAATTATCGATAATAATGTGTTAAAAGGTTACAGTTATACAGTAAAGAATACTTTTATGAGATTAAATGGCTCTTTTATGAGTTTGCTAAATAGCATCTCATTTGACTTCTAGAATCTGGAAAAGAAATTGGTGCTTTGCGTGGTCATACATGTAGAATATCTAACATATCAATCCAACCGAGTTTTGGTCAGTATCTCTTATCTGTGGCCTTGAATGAAGCAATTTTATGGGATCTAGAAAACTTCAAGTGTCGTTGCAAATTGCACATAGGTCAAAAAGTAAATATTGTGTCTGTAAGTTTATTTTAGCTTATTCAAAGGTTTTATTTTTAAAGGTAATACACTATTGGCTATGCTTATTTCAAATCCATTGATATAAGTATAAAACTTGGGCACTGTGGTAGAGTATGACTCCATAATGGATAAGATTTTATTTTATTTCATCAGTTAATTTAACTGTACAACACTGTGTGATTTATTAAAATAAAATCTTATCCATTATGGAGTTATTTCAAATCCAAATTGTTCATCATTTTTTATCGATAAGCATTTTTACATTGTTCCCTTGGGTTCCTAGTGGAACATAGGGCTTCAACTGCACGTCTCCACTTGCTTCTGTCTTCTGCTGTTCTTTTCACTTGCGTCCATGTTATTCCATACTGTTTCATCTCCTCCTCACACGATCTCCTCCATGTCACCCTTGGACGTCCCACTCGCCGCTTCCCTTTCGGGTTCCACTCGAGGGCTTGACGCGCGATGTCACTCAACGGCCTCCTCAGCGAGTGTCCAATCCATCTCCACTTCCTCCTGCATATTTGTTGGGCGATTGGTTCCTGTTTCGTTTGCTCCCATAGCTTCTTGTTTGTGATTCTTTCTGGCCATCTAATCTTCAGTATGGAGCGAAGACAGTTGTTGATAAAGGTCTGCAACCTGTTGAAAATATTCTTGGTGACCCGCCAAGTTTCTGATCCGTAAAGCAAAATTGACTTGACGTTTGTATTGAAAATCCGAATTTTGTTGTTGATGGTGAGTGACGAAGATTTCCAGATTGGTTTCAGGTTGATGAATGTGTTTCTCGCCTTCCCGATTCTCGATTTGACATCCTCGTCCGTTCCTCCTGTGGTTGAGACAATGCTCCCCAGATAAGTGAAAGAAGTAACCTCTTTCAAATCCCTCCCGTTGATGGTGATTGGCACTGGATGTTGCTGCTGTTGTTGGTTGGTTATTTTCATAACCTCCGTCTTGTCTATGTTCACCTGGAGTCCTGTCTTTGCTGCTTCTTCGACCAGTTTGTCGGTTTTTGCTTGTAAGTCTTCGATTTTGTGTGACATCAAACATAAATCATCCGCAAAATCCAGGTCTTCTAGGTTCTTCACGTCGGTCCAGGATATCCCTGTCTTCTCGTTTCCCACTGTCTGACGCATGATCCAGTCCACCACAATTAGGAATATCATTGGTGATAATAAGCACCCTTGTCTGACTCCTGAAGCATTGTTACATACCCACCAGCAATTCTTGATGCTTAATATTAAGCATGAATTTCTTTTTTCAAGCTTGTTTTCAGTGATTCTAAGGTAGCCTTGATGTTCTCAACCCAAGTTTCTGTACAGGCAAATATAGTTGTCTTTCCTGAAATAAGGTAGATCCTATTTGACGCAAGCTGTATTTGATGGCTGTTCTTTAATAATATGACTTAAAAACATTCATTGGTAACTGTTGTCCTATGTGAAGAATTGATCTTCAAAATCTAACAGTTCATCTATGCCTTCATTTCATAGCTTTCATGATTATACTGCTTTAATTGATTTTTATTTTGGTAACGCCTGTGTTCACTCTTGCTACTGCACAAGACATATACAACCATTTCCTCTAAAACCTAAAAATTTTTCTGTAGTTGCTTTCGTTAAGGTATCGATGTCGACCGAGTTACTATGGGAATCTGTGACTGCATTTATAAAATTTAGTGATCCTAAAATTAATTCATACAAATCCGTGACTTTGTTTTAATGTAAATTTGCAAACAAGATCTAGTTAAATGAAAAGTAATCCTTGATTTTTTGTGACTCTCTAGTTCCATGAGGACTCATGGTGAAAACTCATTTTGATTCTCTACGAATATCTTAAGTGACCATTGACTATTCATTGGTTTCCATCAAGCGTATAACGAAGTTGATTCCAGACACGCAACAATTAAACAATTTCGCAAATAAAAACAAAAAAGATGGCGAAACTACTATATAAAGTATGCACTATTATAGTATGAGATAGTGTTTTGCCCAAAGTCATAAAATTGCCATTCTCTATTCCGTTGTTGCAAGAGTTAAAAAAGTTCCAGAATTGACTAGTTTATTGTTAGTCATAGCCTTGATCCCTAGTAGAGCTGTCAGTGCACGTCACTGCAAAGTCGTAGACTAGGAAGAAACAGCCATCCAGTGGTTCTTGGTTTTCAAGGATTCTTCAACTTATTTCAGTTCGTCAGGAAATCTAGTTTCGAACTGAACGAAATCCCCACAAACCTTAAATTAAACTAACATTTATCCTCAAGTTTTTCTTTATTGTTTTACAGATTACTTACAAATATGTAAATAGACACTTTGTATTTTTCTAAATGAACAACTCCCACAAGCGCTGTTTCAAGTTCATCCATGTGCAGCAGTCTTATAATCTCTACAGACTAAATGAATACGTTATTGCTTATTACCCGGAAGCTTCTTAATTTCGTCTTGTCAATTTCAAAAGACAGTCACATTAATATAAAAATAATGAATTCATGGATAAATCTTATGACGAACTTAACCTATGAATAACCATTCTATGCAATATTTTGAAATGTCTGATTCTAGGTAAATTTCATTCCACCTCGGGGTAAACAAATTATATCTTGTTTCCAAGATGGATCCATTTATGTATGGAGCACAGATTCACTTGATTGTTTGTATAGACTTTTTAACAGAGACTACCCAAATCCATCGTACAGGACAATTACATTTACCAGGTTTGTGTGTTTTATTTCACAATATTACCATATATACTTCATATTTTTATTTTATTCATTTCCGTTCCCAGTGGAACATATGGCTTCAAGCTAGAGCTTAAGAGTTTCAGTAGGAGTGGTATTTTTACTAGATGGGGTTACTAGCCTGACGCCCAACCTTACCTCTTTACCGAGCTAATTACCGTCTAAGATAGGTAAAGTTATGCGTCGACCGGAGATCGAACCCTGGACCATTCGCGTGGTTGACCAGTGTTCTGCCATTTAGCCACTGACGCATTATATTTCACATATATTATATATATTTGGAGTGGGTTTTCAGTACTCCAAAGCAAGCTGTCTTACCGAAGTCCAGATATTATTACCCAGCTCAATACTTCGGAAATCACGTGTGATTCACAAGAGGTACAACGGTCATTTGTCGTGGTGACTGCTTGTGCACACATCCCCACTGTAGTAACAAAAAGTTTTTATGCATAAAAAATCTGAGCAAGAATCGCATTGAGTATGGAAATTATGTGCAGATTTATCAATCTAAACATCAATATAGAAAATATCCCCATTTAGACATTTGGAAAACAGAAAGATTGAGCGAAGAAATATTTACTTTTTGCATCAATAAATGTAAAAAGCATTCCGGCCGACATTAACTATGTGATCAGATTGTATGGTTTGTAGAAATAATTATTGAACAAAGTGAACAATTGGAGGTTCTTAATCAGTCACTCCTCAGGATGCTTTTTGTCTTGTTCACTAGAGAATTGAATGTTAAAAACACTGAGTTACAGTTCCTTTTTATTTGAGTCCACTCAAATCAGAAATGTTTTGTTTGTTCTTAGTTGTCGTTTTTACCTAATTCAAACTTATTGTCATTCGTGATGTGCTAAATAATTTATTATCTGTTTTACCATTGATTTAGCAAAGGTCATTATTTGTTTGCAGCTGGTCGTTCACCTTTTATATATTTGTGGAACTTAAAAGGAAATTCAGAACAACTATGTCGAGAAAATTCACCTACAGATGATGGAAGTACAAGTGATCGATTTTTGCAGGAGCTGATTAAACTTCCTGAACCATTAAAATCAGTTCGTCGAATAGAATGGATACCTAAATCTCGTTTGGTTGATTCTGATAGATTTTTTAATGAGTCTAATATAAACAATGAGGTATGTGTCATTTGAAAAACTCTTTTCATTGCATATAAATACGCATATGCTATTTAGTAAAGTGTGAGAACTTCATAAATTGTCAGTAACTGAAACCCATGGGCCATTAGATTCTCACTCATCAGCGGAAAATTGGGAAGTGCTCGACGCCAAACCTTTTGGTACAAAGTGGACCGTAATGACGCCCTAGCCCGTACAGTTATATAGCTATGATTGAACGGACATAGAAAACAGACATCAATAAAGCCGTTACGCCCCCAGGTTGATCAATACACTGAGTTACTATTCAAGGGAAAGATAGTTAAGTGCTTATCTGAGATTGACAGCAAGGTTGATCCTGAGGCAGCATGACATAATATCCAGTCAGCTATAGAAACAGCGGTAATGGCTGATGGTAACCTAGAACCTGTGGTTAGAGAAAGTCAGTGGATTTCTGTTGCTTCATCAGAACTAATTCACTCAAGAAGACCGATTCCGGCAGGCTCTGAACATGATGAGGAACGAAAGCTACTCAAACAGAAAATGAACGAATTTCATACAACCGGTTCCCTTTATTAGTTTGAAGAGAGAAAGAACGAACATGTTTGCAGGATAATACGAGCTCGTTTTATTTCGTGGATACTCATCAACTGCATACATCCTAAATAAAATAAGCGAAAGAGACGGAAAAGGCACTGATAATAGTAACACCAGAGGACTATTTAGGCTCACTAGGAAAACAAGCTGCAAAAGGCAAATTATGAGCGAGACAATCTCCGATAAAGGTGCCGCCTAATTAGCTCCCAGAATAGATGACTGAAATGTTGATGGGAACATTTTGAGGGACACTTCAACTGTCCTACAGCCCCGTTCAACTTTCCCAGCATCCAGTACCTATCTGAATATGATGTAGACATCGGTCCTGTGTCTGTAACTGTTCTTACAAAGGGTGTCTCCAATTTTAAACGAAACAAGGCATCAGGACATGATGACTGACTGACTGATTTCAAAATAGAACTTTGCACCGATGTGCGGCAGTTCGAGTCGCCATACATCACTTAGCATACAAAGCAGGAGAAGAAAGTAAAAAGATATGCAAAATAGAGACAGTAAACAGAGATATAAGGCAAAAAGAATAGTAATACCTAAGAACCATATAGTTTTATTGGGTATTATAAGTCACAAGAAGTGGATGCATCTGCGCCATTGAGAACGGTTTTGATCCATATCACCAATTGTCTCCAACCATTGGTTTCTACCGTCCTGAGGACCCCAACCAGGAAGTCTGCACCTTCTTACGTAGCTTAAACTGACTGTTGTGGATTTCATTGACTGACGAAGCCATGTTTTGGTTCGACCACCACTGGCTCTTTTCCACCTTGATCCTATGTTAGCTAACATTGCCCGTCAAGGAAGGCAATCGATATATATGCATACGTGCGTAACACATGTCCTAACCACCTCAATCGATGTAACTGCTTGACAGCCTTGTCGATTGATTTTCCCTTCTTACCTAGCACTCGACCGAAGCCTAACCTCAATATTGCCCATCTTATCATACCACTTAACACTGTAGATAGAACGCAAGCACCTATGGTCAAAGATAGCTAGCCAACCTTTTCATGTCTTCTACTTTCAATGGCCAGGTCTCAGCCATAAAGGAGGATGGAGCGAACTGCTGAGCATTACACTCACCCTTTGGTCGATAGCCGGATATCACGTCGACGCCAGAGACGGCGTAAACTGGCATATGCGAAACGAGCCTTCTGTATCTGTGATGATATTTCGTCAGAGGTCAACCCGTTGGTGCTGGCTGATGCAACTTACCAAATAAGTGAAGTGGTCAACACGCTCTACCACTTCATTCCTTTATTCTAAGCTAGGAGTCGATGTAGTTCAGTCCAGTCCTGCAACATCATCTTATATTTGGCGGGAGCGAACCTCATGCCAAACATTCGCAGATTGCATCTCAAGGTGTTCAGAAGACTTTGCAATTTGTCAGAGTCTTCACCTAGAAGGACTACATCGTGTGCATATTCTAAGTCAGCAAGACTATCCCCTGGTAACAAGTCAATCTTTGAGTCGCTGAAGTCAGCATTTAGGGTCAATTTCATAATTACATCTATGATGAAATGCAATAGAAATGGGAATGGTGGGCATCCCTGACGGGTTGCCACCACTTCAGATGACAACTCGCCGTAAGCTCTCACCTGCCTGCATGAGTTCAACTAGGGCACCTTGATCAGTGGAATGTATTTTCTTGGCGTTCCTTTCACAGCCAAACATCTCCATGGTACCCATCGGTCGACGGGATCGAATGTGGCCTTTACGTCAGGAAATACGACGATTGTTGGACAGCGGTAAGTATGCCTATGTTCCAGAATCTGTCTAAGGGTGAAGATATGATCTATACATCCTCTCCCTAGTCTAAAGCCTGTCCGGTTCTCTCGCGTTTGTTTCTCCCGACCACCGCTTAGTCTACGCATTATTATTGAGCCTAGGACTTTAGATACCATATTAGTCAAGCTAATCCCCCTTTGGTTATCACAGGAAGACTTGTCTCCCTTCTTGTATATGGGGATAATCAATGACTTACACCAACCCGATGGGACTTCCGCTGATTACCAGACGCTGCCTATTACATTAGCTAATGCTGACAGTGAACTGTCTCCGCCGTCCTTAAACACCTCTGGAGTCATTCCATCAGGTACCGCTACTCTGCCTCGTTTCAGATTGGTGACAACTTTTGTAACCTCATTTAGGGACGGAGGATCGGTGTTCATATCCCATTCATGGAGGTGTTGGATGCTAAGTTAAGCGTGGCTGTAGGCCAGTTAAATTGTTCCTCACAGTGTTCTTTCCAACGTTTCAGTTGTTTATCCTGAGAGCTAATTATGGTGACATTTCCTCAGAGATTGTTTCACTTATTATTTGTCTTTTGCCACCTGTTTCCCCGACAATTCTAAATATTTGTCTGGTGTTACCTATCGCCGATGTCTTTTCCGTCTCCCACCACTGTTCACGGTCGTTACGAAGGCTTCTTGTTAGTTTGCGTCTGAGCAGCTTTCGCTCGTCATCATATTCGGAACTCGCCGAAATCAGTCTTCTTGCGTGAATCATTTCGGATGAGGTAGTAGAAACCGACTGGCTTTTACTAACGTCTGGTTTTAGGTTATAAACAGCTTTTACAGATGTGTTTGCAGCTAACTGTATATTGTGCTAGGCTTCCTCAGGAGGGGTCTTGCTGTCGATCTCAGATGCTCGTTTCGCTATTTCTTCCTTAAATAGGGACTCAGTGTCTTGATCTGTGTCCTTACACTCAATGCTTCCCCTACACCTACAAGTCCTCGCGAACTAGCTGAGGAGTCTCCTGGCACCTTTAAAGTTAATTTCGCACTCACCTTGTTGGCTAGGTGGGGTTAAGTGAAAAACCACACTCGGGTCTTATATGCGTGTCTCCGAAACACAAAATACATCCATGGATCGAGATGCGATAGTTCTTGCTAGTTATGCCTGTTTTTCGATTTGGCAGAGGGTCCTGACGTTAAATGCTCCAATAGGAAGTTGGCGGCATAGCTTTAAGAGGCTATCGGGGGTGTTTCTACGTCTCATCCTTATTTGTGAAATGAAGATGACTGACTAGCCTGCAGAATAGTACTGACAGTAGTAGGGAAGCAAGATGATAAGGGCGACAGGACTGACTGGGGTGACTGAGGATGATGATCAGGAGGGCTTCGAGTGCTTTTGGAAGTGTGTGGGTGGTTATTACATCCTGGCTGCCCACACCGAGGAAGTTGTTTGATTCTTTGCAGTTTACTGTTGCGTGACCGCAGAGCATATGGGACAACTGCTTGAGGCTGGCTACACACTGCATGTATGAATTGGTTTCTTAGATTGGTTCCGTATTATTAACTTACCGCCGCTTACGGACCACCGTCGGGGAAGTCGGAATGTACAATTGTTGGGGTCGACATTTCCAAACTTCCTGTCTCCAGAGTAGAGAGACAGCATGGCTGGCATGCTGGTCGTGTGGCGGAAACACCTTGGTGCTGTTACATCGCTGTTCTCCAGCAGTATGACTTTCTCCACAGACCACAGCATAGTGTAGAAAATTATCACACTACGCCGGTAAATGCTCTCAGTGCAATCACCATCCTAACTACTTTCCTGGAATGGGAGGAACTGCTGGAACATTAGTTCCATTCATTGTAGCGTGTCGGTTCATTGAGATATGCAAGCATGACCACCATTTCAAGGTAGCAGCTATCGGTCAGGAGGAAATGATGAATTGTCTCCGGAGACGTCTTAGGACGGTGGTGAGGAAGTGTCATCGCGGTTAACCAAAATGTTAAATAATTTCTGGTAATCGGAGGTAGTTCCATTAGACTGGCGTAGGTCATTGATTATCCCAGTTTTTATTGAAAGAGACATGTCTTTGTGTTATAGTCATTGGGGAATTAGCTTAACTAGCATAGTATTCAAAGATCTAGGTCCAGTGATCATGCGTAGACTAAGTGACGCTGGGAAGAAACAAACCTAAGGAAACCAAGCAGGCTCTAGACCAGGGAGGGGGTGTATTGGCCAAATATTCATCCTTTAACAGATTCTGGAACATAGGGATACTTACTAGCATCCAACAATAGCCGTATTTCTCGAGCTGAAGGAGGCATTCCACTCTGTCGGCCGAAAGGCAATGTTTGGCTGTGAAGGGAGTGACGAGAAAATGCACTGCACTGATCAAGGCACTCTACTCGAACTCACACAGCTGAGTATAAGTTTCCGAACAGTTTTCATCTGAAGGGATGACAACTGGTGGCGTCTGTGAGGGATGCCCACTGTCCCCATTGTCGTTTAATCTCAGCATACATGTAATGATGGAGTTGACTGTAATTTACATTAGCGAATTAGGGATTGACTTGTTATCAGGGAATAGTCTTGCTGACTTAGAATATGCGGATGATGACGCTGATAAGTGCAGAGTCTTCTGAACACCTTGACAGTCAGCAATCTTCGAATGTTTGACATGATGTCAAATGTAAGATGATAATGCAGGATTGGTCTGTCTGTACCGACTCCTAGTTTAAAGATAGGAAGTTGAATGTGTTGACCGCTTCACTTATTTGGGAAGTTGTATTAGCCACAGTGAACTAATTGAAGACGAGATCTCAGCACGGATACGAAAGACTCTAAATAACCTGCGTCATCTCGTGTCGACGTGATATCCGACTAATCGATCAAAGGACACGCATACTGCTCAGCAGTTTGTTCTCTTCTCCTTTACAGCTGTAGGACACATGGTCATTGAAAGTGGAAGATATGAAAAGAATAGCTGCCTTTGACCACAGATATCTACTTTCGATGCCCGCGTTAAGTATTATAGTATGGTGATTAGTAGTAATGAAGTTAGGCGTAGAGTGTAATATCAGGAGAATAAGTCAATTGATGAGGTTATGCAGTTACACTGATTGAGATGGCTAGAACACATGTTGCGCATACGAAGCCATCAATTTTATCGTCGAGAAATGTTAGCTGACATAGGATTATGTTGGTAAAGAATTAGGAATGATCAAACCAAAATGTGGCATCAATCAATGAAGTCTTTGACAGTTGGTTTGAGTCACGTATGGAGGTGCAGAGTGCCTAATTAGGAAGCTAAGAACCAATGGCTGGAGACTATTGGTGAAATGTCTCAACGGCTCATATGCATTCACTGTTTCTGATCTCCCAGACCCACTAAACCGTCATTTTTCTCTGTATTTTCCGCATTACTATGCTTCTCCCTCACATTTCTGTTTATTATGGTTCTTTTGAATCTCTTTTATCTACGTTTGTGTACTACTTGGAGTCTGACAGCTTGAAGTGTTACCTCTCTGTGATTAATCCTATGTTGAAACCCAACCAGCCATGACTTATGCGTTTACCTTATTAATGCTGTGAGTATCACTTTTGTCGTAATGCCCTCTTGTTCTGCAGGTATTTATTTTGTTTATATTGCAGTCATTAGGTTTTGTACCTAATATTTTTGTATTTCAGCTATCTGGTTTACTACTTTTACTTGGCAGTGACAAACGATTACGATTTCTCATCAGAACACATGAAAGACCTAGAAAGACCTTAAGCTGTTGGCAAAATGTTGAGAAGGATCGAATTACAGGGTATTCAGATACTGTCTTTTGGAAATGCCTATTTACGTTTGGATTGGGTTCATTAGAAGATCCTCTGGTAACATCAATTAATATGCCATCCTGTAACATTTTGGATCTTTCCAGCTGCCAGGGAAAGCAGCAGAGTGAATCTTTTAACTGTCCTTCGCTGATGGCTACTCTTGATGATCATGGTATTCTACATGTATATGATCTTTCCATGACATTGAAGGTTTTCAGTAAAGTATGTTATTTGTTGTTCATAGGTATTTGTATTGTATATTTTTAAACAGTTACTACAATCCAATTATTTATATTTTGTAAAGAGAATTTTGTTTACTGGTCAAATCTCCTACAGAACAGATGTAAGAGAGTGCGCATACAAAAACTGGAAAATCAAACGGCATTTAGTGTTTAATGATAAAATTAATTGTTATTCCCTTGAGTTCCGAGTGGAACATCTCCATTCCATTCCGTTCTCTGCACTCCTCTTTAGCTGGCTCCACAATTACCCATAAACTTCTAACTCCTCCTCATACGTTCTCCTCCGTGTAACGCCGGACACCTAACTAGCCGTTTCCCACTCGTGTTCCACTCGAGGTCATGGCACCTGATGTCAATCTCATTCATTCCGCGGAGAGCTTACCGACCCATGAATAATTCTCGTCCTTTCTTGTCTGCTCCCAGTTTAGCATTAATATCTCCCATTCGGATTTTGATATCGCCTCTTGGGACCTTATCCATTACTGTTTGCAATTGTCTGTAGAAATCTTCCTTATCTTGTTTTCCAGGGTTGTTTGTCTGTGCGTTAAATTAGCTAATTGTAACTTCATTTCCTTTGAGTTGAGTTTTGCAGTCATATTACTGAAGGAAAGTGGTTTCCGCTGCATAAGAGCCTTCGATGCTGTTGCTGAAATCATAATAGCCATTCCCCCGATGTGCTTGTGGTTGTTGTCTGGGCGACCGGAGGATACTATCGACCCTCCAGTTAACAGTTTGAAGAGTCCACTTGTATTCCCCCTGCTCTCACAGATTCCTAGTATTTCTATGTCAAATATTCTCATTTTTTCACAATCTGAGGGGCCTTCCCAGCCAGTTGCTAACACAGCGAGAACATTCCACGTCCCCACGTGAATATTTGCGCCCTTTGAATAAGACAGGCTGACTGACTTCTCGAAGGCCTTCACCAGCCTGTGTCATTCTGCCTCTCTGATTTCGGCGAAGAATATATTTATTATTGGTAATTTTCTGTTCTTTGTAATTTCCATAGAAATAGGATTGATTTTCTCGGGTATGGTCCTTAGTTCGACGCCCAACCTCCGCTCTTTTTCCAGGTTTAGGGCATGCCATTAAACTAGGCGAGGTTAATGCGTAAATGACTTTGTTTAAATATTACTTATTGGTTCCAGATAAATTAAACCAGGAATGAAAATGTCTTCCTTGTGCGTGCTCCCATACTGCGAAATTTTTTAGAGGATGGACTCACAGACGTACTCTTATGCATATTAGCATTATTGCAGGTGATTCTTCTATACTTCAAGTTTTCTGGATTAAAAGTTTCTTAATAGTTCTTCACAGCCCACTAGGTTCAACATAATCAGTGGTGTTATTCTTAGTTTATTTTTTTGACGTATCTTGAACAGTTGTAGTTTTTGGACTACGCAAGTGTGACGTTTTGTAAGTCTTATCTGTATTATCATTCTAGCTGTCAAAGATGATTATTCTGTAAACTGCTCCTGTAAAACAAGAGATTGTTGTGGTAAAAGTATTTCATAATTCATTTTTAAAGAAACATTTTTTTGATTTTGGTACATTAGTTAGATACTGCAAATGATTCATGTTAGTGGTGACTTAAACCTTGTCATTGTCCACGAACTCATTTTAAATCACATGTCATGTATCCTAGTAACTGAGATAAGTTGTTCAGACGCACTCACGTTAATGCTCTCTAGCTTTCATGTTCAATTATATTGACCTGAAAGAAACCATATTCAATTTCATCATGGACTGGTTAACTTTTAAACACCTTATTACATTGATATAAGTATAAAACTTGGGCACTGTGGTAGAGTATAATTCCATAATGGATAAGATTTTATTTTGATAAATCACACAGTGTAGTACAGTTATATTAACTGATGACGTTTCGAGCACAAACTATTGCTCATAATCATATCAAGTTGATATGATTATGAGCAATAGTTTGTGCTCGAAACGTCATCAGTTAATATAACTGTACTACACTGTGTGATTTATCAAAATAAAATCTTATCCATTATGGAACCTTATTACATTCTTGTATATGTTGTTATTATCCTTTGTTAATGACTCTGTATACGGAATTTAACTGAAAATATACTGATTTGTACTCATTCACTTATCTGAACATATCAGTGTAGTATTTTAGGAGGTGCTACTTACAAATAGATATAAGTAGTCCACTTCAGTATCAAATCATAGCACCAATGTTAAGAGTTGTACATTTTCGTTAGTCGAATGTGACAGCCTATGAGTAGATGCACAAACTTCAAATGAATTAATCGATTCTAGAATTTATATAGTAATGTATTCAACCAGAAGTCCCATATAGGCGAAATGTACTTTTTAAATTGAGAATTGTTTCATTCATCTAAATTTCAGTCATCAATACCGCTGATTTCAGTGAGAGGGGATTCTTCGAAGGAAAATTCAACAGATAGACGAGTTCAAGCCGTGAAAAAGAATTGGCAAAAAGGAAATTCAGTCGTACGAAAGACTGCAAATGCTACTAAAGAAATACGTACAGCGAATCATTCTAGTATGCAAATGAAAGACCTTGTAAGTTGTCTTTTAGATGCTAGGCTTTTAATTTAAAAACGTGTCATTAAAATGTCGTATTTCCCTGGTGTTTCTGGCCAGGAAGTTTTGGAATTTATTGTAATTTGTTTATCTTCGAACACTGAATCTGTGGATATAATCTTGTTGACTGATAATACCTATAACTATCTGTTTGGCATTTTGTGACTGTTCAACACTAACTAATATCAATAATTGAATATATTGTTGAATTTACATGCCCAAGTTGACCCAAGTCAGTGAGTCTATGGTTTTGATATCATTTTTGTTAAGTGTATTTGACAGTAATACTACTGCTACGGTTTCTGTTGTTGTTGTTGCTGCCTTTTTCGCTGTTCTGATTGCTTTACTTCTTTTTTCCTGATTCTAAAGGGAGCAACCGGAAAAGTCGCTCCTCTGTAACTTACACATATATGGAACAACTTCCCCCTCGGGCGTGAGAATAGCAACCCCACCCTGTAAGGAATCTCTCATACAGAAACTTCAGTACGATGAGTCTTCTTGAGGCGAAAGAAAAAGTCTGTGTGGGAACATGGAACGTCCGCGCCATGTATAAGACTGGCAAAGCTGCCCAGACTGCAAATGAGATGAAAAGACAAGGTATTCAAGTACTGGGAGTATGCGAAAGCAGATGGAATGGGAGTGGACTCACAAAACCGTCAACGAGATTGTCAGTGATCTACTACGGTCACCCAGAAGACAACTACGAGTTCACTGAGTGTGTGTCTATCATGATATCACCAACGGCAACGAAGGCCCTGATACAATCGGAGGCGATCTAACCTAGGTTAATGACCGCTACATTCAACTGAAAAGGAAGGAGAGTGACAATTATACAATGCTATGCAACCACAAACAATGCACACCTCGAAAAGAAAAAAGAGTTCTACAGATAACTACAGGCAGCAGTGGACAGTACTTCAGTCGGTGACATTAAAGTACTAATGGAAGACATGAACGTCAAACTGGGACTAGACGACACAGGAAGAGAACTCGTCATGTGTAGAGAAGCTCTCGGAGAGATGAGTGAAAACGGAGAACTCTTCACTGAATTATGTGTCTTCAATGAACTAATGATTGGAGGCAGCGTATACAAGCACAAGAATATCCACAAGGCTACATGGGTGTCACCAGACGGGCGAACCCAAAACCAAATTGACTTCATCTCAATGCTGCTCGAGGAAGCGGAGACGCAGCTTACTGGAGACAAAAGTAAGGAGAGGAGCAGACGTTGCCTGAGACCACTATCTCGCACAAGGAACACTCCAAATCAAAGTAAAAGCTTTCAGAGAATCAGGAGCTGCAGATAGACCACACGCCAAGTTCAATACTCAAAAACTGAAGGGTCAGGATGCAAAGGATATCTTCACTGCAATCATAAGGAAAAGGCGGAGACACAAATCAACACTAGCGAAAAGGTCAGCGTCGAAAAGCACTGGAATAGCCTGAAAGCCGTGTGGAGTCAAACCTGCATGAAAGTTCTGGGCAGAAAGAAGAGACAGGACAAACCGTGGCTCACTACGGCCACTTGGAGACTAATAGAAGAGAGAAGGATGGTGAAACAAAAGATTATCCAGTGCATCCACGAGCAACAAAAACAGGAGTTGAGTGCAAGCTACAATACAGTGCACAAAAGGGTGAAGAAAAGTGCCAGGGAAGACAAAGACAATATAATGAAGCTATTGCAAGTGAAGCAGAGCAAACTGCAGTGCAGACAAAGGAGATCTCGCAACACTCTATCGAACAACTAAGTTTCTATCAGGAAAGACATCAACACAAATGAAGCCAGTGAAGCATTACAATAGAAAGTCTATCACCAAAGAGGTGGAGCAAAGGAAACGCTGAGCTGGACATTTCAAAAGACTTCTAAATCGACCGCCATCTACAACGCGCCCAATCATAACGACAGCGGAAGCACAACTACCAGTGGACATCAACAATCCGACGAAGACGGAAATCCTGAAGGCAGTAAAGATGCTGATAACTGGAAAAGCAGCAGGACCAGACGGAATCCCAGGAGAAGCACTGAAAATGGACCCTGGGACATTAGCGGATTTGATGACACCACTACTGGAGAAGGTGTGGAAAGAGGGCAAGGTACCTTCGGGTTGGAAGAAAGGCTACTTATTCAAACTACCAAAGAAAGGAGACTTAAGCCAATGCAAGGACTGGCGCGGCATTATGCTCCTGTCCAGCAAAATACTAAGCCGCATCATTCTAGAGACAATCAAACATGCCCTGGATGAAAAACTTCGACCGGAACAAGCTGGATTCAGGAGAAACAAGTCATGCATTGATCAAATCGAAACACTACTTATCATCATTGAACAGAGTTTGGAATGGCAGTCACCTCTCTATTTCAACTTCATCGACTTTGAAAAGGCCTTTGATAGCTCAGCGTCGATCGAGAGGTGACTTGGCAACTACGTCGTTACTACTAAGGGGCGTCGCCAGCAATTATATATCTCATCCGACAGCTGTACGACAATGCTACATACCAAGTAATCCACAACGGGAAACTTACGGAATCTTTCGAAGTGAAGACAGGAGTAGGACAAAGCTGGCCGCCTACTATTTCCAATGATTTTCCTGATTGCGGCTGACTGAATTATGTGACAAACAGTGGGCAGCGAGGAAATAGGCCTAAAATGGACACACAAAGTACTTGGAGGATCTGAACTTCGCCGATGACATATGTCTGATTTCCCACAAACCGGTAGATATGCAAGTGGAAAGCAACAAGTTGGTAGAAGAAGCATCCAGAGAAGACAGAACTACTTCAGGTGAACAAAGAGAAAACAGAAGTGATGATGATTCCTGTCCAACTGCAACAGCAACAATAACAGACAACAATCAGCATAAATGGAAGGAACCTGAAAGAATCAACCTCCTCTACCTACCCGCCTACCTGGGAAGCATCGTTTCAAATACAGGTGAACAGAACTGACGAGGATATCAAAGCGAGGATCGGGGGAGCAAGGCAAGCTTCCATTTCTCTCAATTCTGTGTGGAGGTCAACAGCACTCAGCATGAAAATGAAAATAAGATCCGGATTTTCAAATTCAGTGTGAAGTCATTGCTACTATACGGATTGGAGACTTGCACTGAGCGTTACGAAGGGTTCTTCGAACAAACTACAGACTTTCATCAACAGCTGTCTTCGCTCAATACCACTCAAGATCACGTGGACAGAAAAGATCAGCAACAGGGTAAGGTCTCTGGGAGCGAACCAACCCAGCAAAAACCGATTGTGCAGCAAATATGCAGGAAGAAATGGAGGTGGATTAGCCATACTATGAGAAAGCCATCAAGTGAGTGACATCACAAGACAGACCATCGCTCGAGTGGAACCCGGACGGGAAGCGACGAGTTGGTCGTGAGTGCGAGGGTGACATGGAGGAGGTGATGAGGAGAGGAGATGAAAGTATATGGGCAGACATGGAGGCAGGTGAAAACGTTGGCAGAGAACCGAACTCAATGGAGACGTGCGTCTGAAGCCCTATGTTCGTCTAGGAATCAAAGGAAACTATAATAATACATAGTATGTTAGTAGAGACACGTGTCCAAAACAAATTATGTTATGGGTGGAAAGAGTAAATAAAGGGTTAAGGGGAAGATGTTACTAAGATGTCATGCAAAACTCGAAAAACAAGAAGGACAAAAACATCATTGACAAATTATTAGAACTTTGAACTTATAATTGTCTTTCGCCACAAAATTGGCTTTAGCATGTTTTTTTCACACTTTGGATTTTAAGAAAAGTGTCGGTTTTTTGCATTATTCTGCATAATACGTAATTCACGCTACTATGCGGTTTTAATAATTATTGCAATTATTCGCAGTAAGTATACAATTTATTGCCATATTTTGTTTCGAATTTTCATTAAATTTTCAATGAGAAAGGGGACATTTTTATCTGGCTTTATTGTTCACATAGTGTACTTTGTTAGAAATATAAGTTTTACTGTAAATTTCTTCTTAGGAATCCCTAACCAAAATGTTCAACTAAGCCATACACTCAAGTTATAGGGAAAATCCTGAACACAGGATTCGTTCACTATGCGGCTCTATATGAGAGGATGACAATAGTAGATAATATATTAAAAACCCCGAATTATCAGTTTTCTGGATTTATTACCGCCAAAAGTAATTTCAAGGTTTGTTATGAAGATAAACATCAGGGCTGTGTTAAAATGAATGCAAAGAGCTAAATAAAAAAGGCCTAGAACAAAAGAGGTTCAAGAGAGGGTAGAACATTTCAGAAACATATACAAGAATTGCAGTTGTGTCATGGAATGTTAGCATAACAAACGATATACAAGTTCATGGAAATGAATAAATGTGAATGCGGGGTAACGACATTGCGATCATGTATAAGCTCATATCGCCTATTGGTGAGTAGTGCGAAGTTGAACTCATAAAGGTAAACACTAATGAGTGATTGTCAGGGAAATGACTACTTACATTGTTAATGAGTTGTAAATTCCTGTATAATTTTAGACTTGAAATTAAGTTGCATACAACACTGAGCTTTTTTGATTTCTTTATGTACACTACGCTGTAAGTTGCCCGAAATCAAATCTGAAGATTAAAACACTAGCATAAATGTGCTTCTGGATGACATATGGGGAAATACCTCATTACCCATATTAATATTAAACGTAATCTTAGAGCTTCATATCCGATCTCTGTTGCTTCTACATGCTGAACAAAAATATGGGTGTCCTTGGGATACGATGTTCTCTTTTCAAAAGTTAAATGAAAGACTGCTTTGTGTAGACTCCTAATATGAGAATACATGGTGAATATTTTTGTTCGAAGAAAGATGAGTAAATTAACCACAAGTGTCATTCAACTAAGATTCAAAAATGTTTTGGTGAATAAACCACTTCACTTATCTGGAAATTGTACTAACCCTGATAAACCGATTGTTGATAAAATCTCAACATCGACAGAGAATAATTTAACAACTGGTGTCATAACCGAACAGTAAATTGTACACCAATTCACTCCGTTCTGCTTCATGGCTGTCATGCATGGCCGGTGAAAATGGAAGATATGAAGGAGCTAGTCATCTTCGATCATTGGCGTTTGCGTTTTATCTCCCATGTTAGATGGTTTAATATGGTGAGTAATATTGAGGTTAGGCGTTAAATGTTAGATGAGGAGAGAAAATCAGTTAATGAGGTCGTGAAGCTACATCGATTTAGGTAGCTAGGTTATATGTTACGCATACGAAGCCATCGCCTTCCTTACTGAGCAATATTAGCTGACTTAGGATTAGGTTGTCAAATCAAAACACGACATCAATCCATGAAGTCTTCTATTGTTCTCCTGAGTAAAGTAGATGAGTGTAGATTGCCTCTTTGGGATCCTCGCGATTCTGAAAACCAATGACTTGTGAATGTTGGTGACCTGTGTGAAAGTTTTTTTCAGTGGCTGAAGTTAATTCACACTTTTTGACCTCCCAGATTTATTAAGTCTTCACGGTGCTTCATGTAATTATTGTTTTTGATGTACATTTCCATTAATTATGGTTTCGTTAGACCAAAAAAACTACATTTTTGGTAATAATTGTACTTAATAATAAAGTAGTGGGAAAAACAGAATGCCAATACAAATACAATGAAAAATCGGTATTTCATTCATCACATATCTCGACAAATTCTTGTTAGTTTTAGATGATGGTTGCTTAATTGCCGGTTAACCGGATCGTATTCAGAGATTCGGCCTTATAAATCGACTGTAACTATCTACTTTCACATGTAAGTGTTTTCAACATGTATTTTATTAAAGGTGCAACTGTGTATCGCACCACCAATATTCTAAGTGTGAAGTGGATTTTCTAAGAATCTATTATTTTCCCTTGCCGATGGAACACAATGTCAAATATTAGGCTAACATCTTCAAAGAGCATAAACACAGTGTTTTTTGGAGATAAATTGACTCCATATTCATGATAGGATCTGATACTTTGTCGCAACACGAGGAATCACTGATAAGCGCTTACCTTGTGTTTGTAAGCTTTAATTTCTCAAAGCTATGTATTTTGCTTTTTTATAATTTCAGACAAATGGTTTATTGGATAAACAACGCTTGCGTCTATTACTTAAAGAATTCGGGAAATTCCCGAGCAAATATCGGTAATATATATTTTTTATATGTAGTTATTTGTAGTGTTTCTCTGTCGATCACTGAAATCAATTGTTCGTTTGTTAAAACATTAGAATTGAAATTAACCACAAACTAATTACGGATTAGGTGACAGTTTTACACTTTTGAAGTATTTTTGTTGACAGAAAATAGAAACAGATATGCGATGTTGTATTTTTCTGTTGATATCCCATCATTGTGTTTTGATACATTTTATTGATTAAAGATGCCCACTCGAAATTTCAAAAGATTGATCTTTGAATAAAGAATATTCTTTTCAATAACTTGATCATCAGTTATATATCTACAATAATGAAAGAATGATTGATTGGACCGAAGTGCTCGATCTCAGGTTGACATGTCTTTTGGCTCCTTGTGCAGATGCTTCGACGATGTCTGGGCATGTAATTGGAAGTTAACTGGTGGATGGTGACTAGCAGTGGAATCCAGGATGTTCATTTCGTCCTATTTGGGACTCGTCATCCGAGTGTACCTGCATTCCGCAGTGAGTTAGGTACATCCAGATGACAAGTCTCAAATAGGATGAAATGCGCTTCCTGGATTCCACTGCTAGTCACCGGTGATTGTTATTGACAACAATAGTGGTTTTTGAAGATTAACAACGATTCATTTAGATCAGAATTCCAAAAGTTATTTAAAATTAGATTTTTAATCGATTATAGTCCGAGATATATGTATTTGGTAATATGTAAAATTGTAATACTAAACTGAACACAAAATTACAAAGTAAATGATTATGAATGACAACGAATGTATAGGAATAAATTCTTATGAGTCATGTTCATATTAAGTTTTATTCACATTGATTATAAACTTCAGATGGATGAATGATCATGTCAAGGAAAATTTTGGGGGTTGAATTTTATTTGCGTTGTATGTGTGTCAGTATGTAAGTTAACCATTACGTTTAAATAAAAAAACAAAAGCTTACTTAATGCAATTGTAATGACAAGGGTACTGTCCAGTACTCCCAGGCTTTCCAGTGGTTCTCAAACTGATGTCAGCTCATGATGAAATCCTCCATGCAATCAAACAAAAATTCCTACAAAACCAATACCTGAGAATTTATATATCACGAAAAATACCTATTTATTCATAAGTAAAATCACAGTTTTTTTGTTCAGTGAAGAAATTTCTTTTCAACGACTTCATTTTCAAGCTGTACAGTCGTATTTATATTACAGTGGCACTAAATAATTGCTCAGTCAATACACATATATATGTGATAAGAATAACGATAAAAAAATGTAGACACTATCTGCTATCTATGCGAGTATATTGATTTAAATAGCATGAACATTGGCTTACCAACTGAATATCTGAAACAACTATTATTGAGATGCACACTGAATGAGCAATTTAGATTTAATGAAGTCATCTACAATCAAAGGGACGGAGTCGCCATGGGGTCTCCTTTAGGACCGCTATAAGCGAATGTCTTCATGACAAGCTTAGAGAACTGCCCACTAGAGGAAATCATCGAGATTGCGTTTATGTATAAAAGATATATAGATAATACCTTCATTGTCTGTGAGAAAAACTCTTCAACTGCCGAACTTCTTGGAATATTTAATGGTTCTCACCCATCTTTGCTTTTCACAGTCGAAGAAGAATCGAATTCCTCGTTTCACTTCTTTTGCGTTAAGCTAGATAGAAGAGAGAATGGAACACTGTTAAGGTCGATTTACCGAAAGCCAACATTCACACGGCAGTACACTAACTTCAACAGTTGGTTACCTTTAGGGAAAAAGAGAAATATTCATTCCTTATGCTCCTGAATTCGTAAAGTCTGCTCTATAGAGACAATCTGTAGACAACTAGATAACCTTCAATCAAATCTTTTTAACAATGGATATCCTACAAGGTTTACTGAACATAACATCAAGAAAGAATCCGCCCCTAGACAAATCACAGTGCCAAAGAAAAAACTGTTTATGAGTCTTACATTCAAAGGTGACACCATTTCTGAATTGATTAAAAATCGTTTATCTAAATGTATTAAACGCTCTTTTCATGCGGTTGACTTGCAAATAGTTTTTACCAGCCGAAATATGATTAGACAATGCGTCAAGGATAGATTACCGCTTATGTCCACATCTATGTGCATTTACTCTTTTACCTGTTCCTGTGGAGCACGTTGTAAGCGTACTCTCCGAAAACGTGTAGCTGAACACTATCCGGTTTGGTCAATGAAAGGCGAACGTAGAACTGCGAAGTCGTCTATTTGTGATTACCTGTTAGAGTCTGGTCATTTAGCCCCACGTGATTCATCTTTCAAAGTTATCTACATGGCAAAATCGAATCGATCCAAAAGTTTACGTTTTCTTCACTTATGCATAGCCGAAGCTTTAGCTATACATGAACACAAACCTAAATTATGTGTTCAAAAACGTTTTGTCAAACCCCTTTCTTTACCTTGGTCATAGTAATGTTCTTTCTAGTTTTTATCTTATTTTATTTTACCACTTGAATTCTTTCCACTTCACTTCACATCTTTATTCTTATCGTAATCGTACTACTAATTTCTAAAATTTTTAGACAACGCTTGACTTTTTTTTATCTAAAAAATATTTTGATATCAATTCACTTATAAAACAATCTTTAATAATTTTGTAATTCATCTACTTCAACTCTACCCTTATAACATTTTAATTATCGTTATTCTTATCACATATATATGTATATTGACTGAGCAATTATTTAGTGCCACTTAATAACCTTTTTCTGTAATATAAATACGACTGTACAGCTTGAAAATGAAGTCATTGAAAAGAAATTTCTTCGCTGAACAAAAAAACTGTGTTTTTACTTATGAATTTATATACAGGATAGAGGGCGATATGTAATAAGGTATTTATATATTAGCAAACTCCACACCAGACCAGGGCAGTGATAGTGATTTGCTGTGTTTCTTTTACACACAGAGCTCCGGTTGTTTCAGCCGGATCGCGATAGCCGTTTTCATTTCCTTAGACTTTTGAGAACCATAGATATTATATTGACACCTATTAATGACTGAGTGTATTTTCACAACGCGTGAATTTTCCCGTCTTCGTCTGTATTTTTGGCCAAATAAAAAATGCCATTAAATGCCGTTGACCTTAGTTTATTTCAAAAATGTCTACAGAAACTTCAGAGATTTGATATGTTGAAAATAGTTTTTTCTGTTTTTTTTCTTTGATAGATTATTTATTTGGCGATCCGTTTTACAGCTTCCCTGTAATGTTCAATCTTTCAACGCACTTGTAAACAAAGCGATTCATCCAGCTCATGATTTATTATCATTGCGATATCCTATTCGTGGTCAGAGATTGTTCAAAGCTTTACAAAAGTAATTGGGAGAAATTAAATTATTCCTGTTCTGTCTGATTGTTACAACAATGTGGTTGACTTGTAAAGTTGTATTTTATTCATTTGCGTGTATATCACTTTTAAAATTCTAATCCGTTTAACTTCAATACGAAAATGATCTGTAAATGATTAATATATACCTGTCTGTCACAAAAAATTTGGATCCAGATAACCAAACACCCACGGCAGTCTTGTCAAATTTATAAATAAATAAATGTTTCCAAGTCTTGTCAAAGGCGACTTGGAAAAGTTGAAAACATACCGGTCAGAGTCATTAAGAAAACTAGATTCACCTATTAGTCAGTTGGATGCTGTTTTTAATTTCTTTGGTTTTAGAGACTTCATTAACGTAATCCACAAATAGTTCCATTAAATTTTTTGGAAGTTCATCAACAGCATACTTTTTTTTTAAATGTAGCAATTTACGTTTGGAGAAATTCAATCTGATTAAAAGCGAGTCACTTAGAAACAAAGTAGTGATTAGGAATATAATTTAGGATAGTGGTTATTCACAATACATTTTCGAATAAAATCCGCATTAGTTTCCGCTTTATGCATTATGCTTCAGTTACTCTGTGAGTGCCGTCAGAGCAATGGGATGCTCGTAAGATTCCAGTGATATAAATATCCCCACAGAATATTTAAGAAAAGCAATAATTTGAATGAGTGGTTTTTTTCAACGACTCCTTCAGGTTCTGCAATTAGAAATTCACGAATAATGCAGTACAACATTCAGTAAAGGCAAATTGAATTATATCAGTAACTATATTGTGGAACAAGTAAAAGATGGAATCATAATCATTTAGTTTTGGTTTTTTATTTAAAGTGAGAATATTTCTTTCCCTTAGTAAATTAAAAAAAGCAGCAGCCGTGGAAGAAGCAGTATTTAATGAATTCACAAATTTCGACTACTATATATGTTAACCTTATAAACTTTTACGAATGATCACTTTTGTAGAGTACTCAGCTGAAGAGCCCTACCGGAATTTATGAATTCATTAAATGCTGTTTATATAGAAATAATAGATAAGTTTTGTTGCTCAGATGGATGATTCTGATGTGGTTGTGTTCTGTGAGCTGGCTACTTTAATTAATTGCAAAGCTTTCATTGTCCTCATATTATTCAAATGCATACAAAGTGTTTGGTCAATTGAAAGATGCGATAAAATGAAATTAAATAATCCAATGTCTTTTTTATGTACTCATAATCAACAAATGTATGTTTCAAGGAGTGAATTGTAGAAAGTAATAGGTGAGGCAATATGAATTTTATAGACAATTAAACAAATAAATGGAGTACGCTTGATTGTAAGTCTAAAGGGTGATAAATAACAATCATAATGACAAATAATAACTATGGTGTAGTGTAAACATAGTAGTACTATTCGTAAACGATAATTAAGTAATGAAGAATTTACTAAACTGGAAAGAAATTGGTCTGTGTGAATACAATAATAAATGTGAGGAATATTATGTAAATCCAGGGTAATAGACTTAATCAGAAAGGTCAGGAAATAGTAAAATGTCTAGAATAAAATATTGTCAATGGAATAGGGGCAAGAAGATGAGCTGAAGAATAAGGACTTAGTGGTAATTATTAGAGGTGTTTGGTTGTATCTACTATGAGTAGCCAAAGTAGTAGCGATCAATGCCAGAAGATCTGACCAATTTATCCAGAAGTAAATCCCGCCGCTTTGTTTACCTTGATCTAAAATAAGATCATGTCACGTTCACAAACAAGCCATTCAATAAAGAAATGCTAAGGACACCATGAACGAACTCTGTAACTTCAGCAGCACAAAACAGAATGAGCTTATCGATGTTGAAACTTATAATCTATCTCAAATACTTGATTTCTTATGAAGAAAACATAATCTGTTGTGTGTTTTTTTCATTTTTTTTCTTAAATAAATAAAATAGAGTGTGTTCAGCATTGGCCTACTGGTGTCCGTTATTTGGTGAGACTGATTGGTTACCATTATTTGTTTTTCCTTTTGTGAAATTGTATCACAACAATTTGTTGTATGCATTTGAAGTGGTAGCCACAATACTGAGTAAGTTTTCATTTCCAGTAAAATTGTTTTTACAAATCCTCGTAATTATTGTCGTTAGGCAGCCAGTGCCCAAATAGTCAGCTATATAATTTGATTAGATTTGTCTACTTCAATGTGCTTTATTTGTGGATGATTTCACCACCCACTGTTATTCCGAAATTATTACTCACAATTCGAAGTATGTGTGTTAATGTGGATACGTACACTCAGTTGAACTAATTTTTGATGTAGAGATGTGTTGTCTGGCGGAAAGGAATCTACTGGTTCTACTTATTTTATTCTATATGAGTTCAGTAGTTGGTGGTGATATGAAATACTTAATCTGCTTGTTACTCTTACTTTTTTTTCCTTCACGGTCCCTAGTGGAACATAGGGCTTCAAGCTAGTGGCTTGAAGTTTCGTTAGCAGTGTTTATTTTATCCTCATGCCCAACCTTTCCTCTTCACCAGCATTATTTCTGGCTTAGCGAGGTAAAGAAGTGCTCCGGCCGGGGATCTTACTACTCTTGTAAAATTTAAAAAAACCTAACAGACATAGGGTATTTGCGTAAAATTGTTTAATTAGTGTTGAAAGTGTATCCCAGTGTATTTTATAATTAATCAGAGCCATGCACTAAGTTGTACTTTAACTCTATTGAGATGTGAATGCATTTTAAAACCCCAAAAGCCATAATCACACATTGTTAGAGTTTTCATACTCAAAACAAACACGTTTTAAAATATAAATGAGCAGCTGATAATAGAATATATTCCAATGTTTGTTAATACTTTTTAGTAATGAATACCTTTATATAGCCATTATTAATAACGACTTTATTTGCCTTCTCTGTAATAAGCAATTAATTAATTATCATGCACCTAAATTAGGTTGTTAGGAGGTGATATTTGTCCATCCTAAAGCCTCTTTGTCTTATAAAGCTTGTGAAAATGTGTTTACCCTATTTTCGCATGCCTGTTTCACTGAGGCTATTGCTCGTATAGTTAAAGACTTTTTTCTTGACGAAACGCAATGGCTGAATAATGATCTCTTGCTCAGATGACTAGTGTTTTCATGCTAAAATGATGTTAAGGAGTAAGATTATTCAATAGTCCTCATTGAATTCATTATTTTGTTTGATGAGTTAAAGCAACCAAATATAAGCAGATGTGCTGCGAATATTATATAATGGGTAATTTAATATTAACATTTTACCTTGGACCTCCTTTATCCTCAACATATTTCTTATGCACGAGGGTCGGGGTTTAATCCAATGAGCTACACCTACACAGCGCAATATAATTGAGTAGTTAATATCACTAATTCTTCTTAAATGAATGTTAGTGGTCAGTTATAAGAACAAAGATTTCATCGGATTAATTGTGAAAGCATCCAGTTTTAGAGGAACAACCGCAGTAAATCCAGATGACATTTAACACTTGAAATATAATGAAACCAAAAGGATTAAAGAGGGGTCATTTAAAAGTAGTTTATCTCATTTGCGCAGTCATGAAAATCTTAGAATGTTATTTAGTTATAGTATTCGTAAAATTGGGGCCAATGTTACCTGGTGTGTCGACAGATTATTCAAACACGTAAAATCATGAATGAGGCAGAATTATCTAGATGTAGTTGACTAACTCAGATATATCCTGGATACCGTTAAGTATCTAAATTACAAGTCCAATGTAAGACAACGGACTGGCTTTTTGTCTCGTCCCAACTGGGCAGCAGAAGATGTAATGAGTTACCTCACGCATGTATGCAAACAAGCTTTTGAATAAACGTTTCAATGGTATGGCAGCTTATAATAGACAGCAGACTTTCTCAATAATAGCCCTCTATAACCTTGATTGGATAAATAACGCGCCACAACAGCTGACACGGAAGACACATTTAAGCATTGACAGCATGTAAATAAATCATTTACGGGCTTGTAGTGGGATTATACTACGTTTGAGATTATTCTACGTAAATGTATTTTTGCAAAAAAGTCTAATGTTCAATGAAAATTCGGACATTCATAGTAAACATAATATATAATCGTGGGAAATATACCTCAGGACACCAAACAGAGAAAAAAAACAAGAAACTCAACAAAAATATCTTTTTGGTGATCTCATCTTCAAAAGCTACACAATCGCATTCTTATGCATAAGTTTGCCCAGTTACAACTGTTATTTAATTCAACATAGTAACGAAAGGAGATTAAAAATGACAGTAATTTTCAAAATGATATGAAAATTTGACGGTGTGAATACAGATCACAGGAGTCATAGAAACAAAACCACATAGAATTAAAAAATAGTTGCACAATATTTAAAATAGTTTTTTTTAACAAAGACAGATGTGGACGAAATGTGCATAGCAACAAATCGACATGATAGTTCTTATAACTAAAGATGAAAAAATGCAGGAAATAGAGAAACTAAAGCTAACAACTAAAGAGTCAAACAGACCTAGATCCATAGTAAATGTAGAGGTTGGACCAGTTTCTTTTGAACGTATAGCTCCGGTTTCTCAGTGTATGCGGCAGAGGCCTCTGCAGTATAAAGAAGTAGGAAACATATTGCCTTTGATAAATTCTGTTCACTTTGTAAATGACTGTGAATGATGAGTTAAGTGAGATACTGTGACAGGTGTTGACTCGGTTCTCAGTTATAACGCTTCTTGTTGAACCACTGTGGCCTCTTTTCAGTCATGCTGTGTAATATTCTCTAACACACCTTGAAAGAACACGCATATAATGACCTATGTGCCTAGCTGCACAGTAGCAGAAGAGTTGATATATGCACATCAGAGTGGTCGGTCATATGAAAGAGTCTGTCCTCGAAATTGCTCAGAGGCAGTAATTGACTAGAAAATATCACTCTTAGCGTTGCTACAGAGGTCTTCAGGGAACTAAACATTCACCTCTTTAGGATACCTGCTGCTAAGTCTCTCCTGTAGTCTTGGTTCATACACAGCATTTTGTTTGGCACTGAACTTTATTCTTCTCTTTTTGGCTTTAGTCTCATCTCCTTCTTGATGAACCGTATCCAGTATTCATTTTAGCTAGGATTCGTTTGAGAAGTAAGGTCGCTTCTTCTAAGTAGTTTATGCTGGACATAATTTCTGTAACGTCGTCCAAAAAAAGTGATTTCCATCGATTAAACTTTATTTGATTGTCCACTGAAGACATTAAGAAACATTACGGAACTCAAAATAATTGCCAATACATGTGGTCTACAATATACGTAGCATTATTTTTTTAAAATAAAGCGAAGCTTTTTACTTGAAAGTGTTGAGATGTAAGGGTAGTCAAATATGTGAAAGTGTTGTTTCAAGAGTTAAAATAACTTCTGTACAGGAATTCATTTTACCTTTATACTCTCATCTTACAGTTAATTGGTGTGGTACCTGGTTTGAGTTCTTTCCTAATCCACCGATCAATATTCTTTGTATGATTGAAAATTTGATTGCCTATGCCGATGAAGAGTTGTACCTCCATTTTGTCCACTACAACGTCACCACTGAAGTAAGCATATATCACTTTAATGTTGGAGCATTATTTCTGTGTCTGTAAACAGTTTCACTTTTCATCTTATCTCCTTTTCGGTATAATTATTTAATTCTTGAGAAATCAGCATGCCTAAAATATTACAGAACGCCTTACTTGAATCAGAAAGATACTTAATGAAAAAAACTTTATAAATCTATGTACATATCTTGGAATTAATAATGAATTACTGCTTATTTATGCCTACTGATGGTATTTAACTCGAGTGTCAATAACACAATAAACTGATAGGTAAAGGTGCACCATTTTTCATGCTATTATTATCATCTCGTTTTTATTATCTTGACGGGTTTAAGACCAGAGAGTGTACTCATTAATACTCCTAATCTTCGAAAATGCTCGTTCATACATGAGTTTTTGTGAGTAGTGTGAATCTGTACTGGTACCATTACTCTAAGACATTTAAAAAGTAAGTGTTATTATAATTTCCGAAAGGCATTCAGCTGATAGAGTCTAGTGATGCTTATGTTTCAGTGCAATAAAATAAGTATTGTCCTTCAATGTTAAGTGTAATTTAAATCACTTGTTTTATTTGGCATCTTTTTCCAATACTCATGCATCAGTCTAATTTGATAAATTGAGTTTTGAAAAATTAGAAATACTAAGTTATGGTAGGTAAGAATATGCGCATATCAAAACGGCTGAAAGTAATTATATATTAACTGTGGATAAAGTGATTGGTACGCAATATCTACATTTATGGTTCACGCCATTTTACCCTTCATTATTAGTACTATTACTTAGACAAAACTTATTGTGCAATTCCCCAATGTGACCGACGATTAACATAATAATAATAATAATAATGGCTTTATTCCAAACAGTATTTGTGGTACAGGTATGGAATTTTCAGCGTTCATTACAATATTGCATCTAATTACCTCATAAATTTTATAAGGATTTAAAAATATAGAGCAACCACAACAAAAAGAAAAAAGAGAAATAAAAGAAATAAAAAAGAACAGCATTGCATTCACATATTTAAACAATGCACCACAGGATATGATATATAAAATTAGTCTGCAATAGAATATATGAGCAACAATATAATAGTAACAAAGAAAGGAGAACAAAAGCTAATGGGAATTATTTGTTAGAGTGCCGCAGTAAGTTGATCGTGTCATGCCTAACAGTTTTCTCATCACATAACAGCTGTGCCAGATAAGGCATTGTGGAGTTTTTGTACTTAGTAGTCCTGGCATATAGCTTCCTATAGTTGCTTCTAGTTCTACCAGATGAAATGCAAGGAGAGAGGTGCGTATAGAGAGGGTGTTTGGGGTCAGACAATATAGAATTCGCTAGTTTCTTACATGACATTATATGTCTATCCACAATAGTGTTAACCAGTTGGTTTAACGAAATCCCACTTCCCCTACTAACAGCTTTTAGTGCCCTACGCAGCAAAGCAAAGTCTTTCTTAAGTAGTCCAGGGAAGATTAATGGGGAGCAGTAAAGAGGGATGGGTAGAATACAGGAATTGACAAACTGAGAAAGCAAAGACTGCTTTATACCAGACTGCCTAAACTTCCTAACGTAGAACGTTAAGCGAAACATCTTTCTAACCGTTATTTTTTAACAACAATAACAAAGTCAGTCGTTTATATAGACCTACTACCTATTCTCTGTGTACATAAGTTATTGATATTTTCCAGATCTATGCTTGGCCACTTTTACAAACTGCATTAAGCGAAGTGTTTACCCAAGATGAGTGGTTATGTCTTTGGGACATTTTGATATGTCACTCTCCAGGATTGTTGCTTGCGGTGGTTGCTGCCTTTTCGATTAGCGCTCGAGGACCACTTTTAATGGTTAAAAATCATGACACGTTTGAGGTATGTTATTTTAAATTGTTATTATTACTTGTTTCCTGTCCATGTTTGATATAATCTAGTGTTCATTTTTAACCAATGAATATAAAAATAATTATTTCCCTTTGCAAAGTTTCTAATATCTACGATTTCTAACTTCTACAACAGCCCTATGTTCCTCTACGAATTAAAGGAAACAATAATAATAATAATAATACAACTATCCAGAAAGTTCATACTTTCGTTTGTGCGTCGGTGGCACAGCGGTTAAGACTCTCGCCGACCATACATATGGTCCGGAGTTTGACTCCCTGCCGACGCACACCTGATATCAATGGTCGACCTGCGAAATTTGGGCTACCGATATCATATGCTGAAAATTCCATACCTGTACCAAAAGTACTGTGTGGAATCAAGCTACAATAAAAAAAAAGGAAACTACTCATACCATCCATTTCCTGGCCGCACTTTCATACACAAATTGCGGTTTATAAATTTGAACAGAAATCGAACAAACATAGGTGCTAAATATTACTGATCCATTTTGTTTCGTTAGTTCCCTTCAGCTGTATACAACTTACAATATTTGATAAAACCAGTTATAACGCAATTTTAACATGCATGTGTGTCTCATCATGATACAGTCCTCCCGTAAAGATTGTTTTAAAAAGGCTGTAGTGAAATCAAACAGTGATTAGAATCCATAAGATTGCAAAATCAAAATTCGGTGTGACGAATAAAACGATGGATTTCATATTGAATCTAATTTTCGGTCCTTTGAATTCCAATGACTGTACTGCATCATCTTTTCAATTGACTTTGTATACGCCAAATTTTTATTCTAGTCACTGTATTTTATTATCTCTAACTACGCATTTATCACTGACTTTTCACCACCGTATCAGCCAAATTGTTCATTTTTTACGAAAGACTATATATATATATCTATTTTTTGATTTACAGCTTGATTCCACACCGTATTTTCAGTACAAGTATGGAATTTTCAGCATGGATATCGGTTGCCCAAATTCGGGCATACCATAGATATCGGGTGTGAGCCGGCAGGGGTTCGAACCCCGGACCATGTGCATGGTTGGCAAGTGTCCTAGCCGCTATGCCACCGACGCACACAAATAATGCGCCGGATGGGGATCGAACCCCGGACCATGCGCACGGTCGGCGAGATTCTTTACCATTGCACCACCAACGCATATATATAATAGTCATCCTAATGTTTTTTTTCACTAAGACTTTCTCACAGTAATCCTTATTAGAGGATCGATTTTTGATGGTAAACAAAACTGATATCATTCCCTGATCAAACTTCAGATAAACCAAATCCCTAGAAATCAACTCTTGGAAAGTAATCTGATGATCGCTGGTGACTGGCTACAGGACGAAGTTGCCTGATTTTCTAGTGAGAACCAGCCGGTGTAGTCCGTCAGTTTGGGCGTGAGGATAAATACTCGCCGATGATATTGGCTGGTCGTCGCGCTAAAATCACATATTGGTAGAAGCTGGAATTCATGGGCTACTGAGTTGGGTCCCAGTGACCGAAAGGTCTACAAGCTTTCCTTGTGACCGGAAGGTTCTGGGTTCCAACCTCGGTGGGTGTGTACTGCCAAAGAGTCCCAAACAAATTGTATGTTAGAGTTCTATTATGACTGGTCTTATTAAATATTAGACGTTGTAAGCAGATGAAGAAAACTAACGAAACGAAATGGATCCATACATTTTCTGAGACAGTTAACGTTATATTTTTGAAATAATTTTGCATTTATCTTTTAGTATCGTTGTTTCTATGCAACTATAAACAAACAGAGGTAGAACTGTGAGTAATTAAGGGTGACTTTTGAACCCTAAACTTAAAGTTGAAAAAGCTGAACTGTAACTGTTGTGTGCATTCGATTCGCAATGTGTTGGTTTACAATTACTTACATATACATTTGAAATGGACGCTTCATATGTGTTAGCTGTTCATACAGTGATCTGTTTGACGTAACTTGATTTACGTAACCTAGCTTCTGCAGGTACATATTCGTTTATCATGGACCAACAGCATTTAGTCATTTTCCATTTGAAAAGCATGAATTATTTCATAAAGTTACGCTGAATCACCCACAGAAGTGACCATAAAACTATCTTTTTAAAATCATTCCTTTAAGTGTTAAAGCCATTTATGCGATATGGTAAAAAGTTCGGGTAGTTTTGTTAATTTACTTTTGTTATTACAATTGCAGTTGTAATTTGTATGCTGTATAGAGCATCATTCTTACAGCCTAGTGAAGCTTATAGACATTGTGCAATTATCATTAGGATCAGCCTTCTTTATTTCAATTATTTGTTCTATTATCGAAAGGCATACTACCACAGTCAAAGCACACTGTTAGTGTCAGATATTGTTGAACGAGCTCATCAGCTGCTTGCATCACTGCCTTCAGAAATACATCCAGACAAGCTTTTATCTTCACTCATTCAACCGGATAACAATGATAAAAACGCAAATAAAGTTTGTCTGACTTTCCAACCGCTAACAACTCCTCATTATCCGATAATCACTCGTTATCCCAAGTTCATTGTAAATTATCACATACAAGAACGGGAACGTATTCGACAAGAGGAGAAAGAATACCTTAGACAAAAGTAAGAGTTGTTTTTCAGTTTCAATTGCCCTTTTTGAACACCTGAGACTACTGTTTTCTTTAGTGTTTTAAATTTTAAAAACTTTTTGAATGATAAATAATTTGTTCTGTTTTAATAAACAATAAATTCGTAAATACAGAATTTCATTTCTTGGTAAAGACGATACTCTGCTTTGGTCAGAAGCCTTCCTTTAAATGAATTGTGTTAAAAACACGAATGGATGAGCAGAATGATATGGATACACGTATGTAAGGTAAATTATTCACACATACTCTTGATAATGATGTTTCTAAATATTCTGAAATTGGAAAAAAGAAAAACTCGAATATTACAAGTAGATGCACATATCCTGTATTTAACGAGAAGTTCCGATTTTTCTGTTCGATTTATTGTTTTAGCGAAGAGATTCTTTTCAGCAAATTCATTTACTACAGCCGTCGAAATAGAAAAGTTGGGGACCGTAGCATACAAAAGAAACTTGTTAATCATCTGTTCTTTGCTTGCCCTTAATCCACTTATATTAAAATTATTAGCGAGAAAATTTGTATATTTTTAAAAGAATCCTTCTACCTCTTTTAACCAATTTAATTCTTATTTAATGTCACCTCTTTTGTGTTGTAATGCTCATTTTTATAATAATTTACTCTTTAAGCATTTATTATAATTATTCACCTTCATTGTGCCTTCATTATATCTTGACTAACATTCACTAATCTAAACAACAGAGAATTTATTTCACCAGATACTAGTATTTCAAGTGTACAACTATTGGATACATTAGGGTAACGTATTGTATATAATTGTGATTGTTTAGCTGTAGTGAATGGACTTGCTGAAAAGATTATCTTCACTGAATCACTTGTTTTCTATTTCTAAATGTTTAATTGAGAATTAAACAAGAATTAATTTATTGCTTGTTGATTCAGGGCTACAGTGGAGGATATACAACGGCGAGCTGAGTTAATGGCAAATGAAGAACGTAACTGGTAAGTGACTAATTAACCTGTTTTGCACCAATAACCTGTAATCAAAAAGAGTTTATAAAGCATTATTATGAATAACTTAAAGATCAGGTATAGAACATGATTATTTCTACTCCGTGATATTAGGCATTAGGCAAGAATTTATTCGAATGTTACGCGTCTTCTGTGCTGTAGATAATACAAGAAATTTATCTAGTATACTTCATAACCTGGCCTAATGAATATTTGCGTTTTTTTTCAAAATATTTATAATCGTCTCGGTACATACATTTTATTTGCTCATTTCTCTCCTCCAGGTATCGTCAGCAACAATTACTTCTTGATGCTGAAGATCACCGGAGAACATTACTAGCACAGGAAGAGAATAAACTTCGTGAACAGCGTAAAAAGTAATGTTGCATCTCGCTTTATTTTATTCAATACTCCTGTGACGAATATTCACATATATATATATATATTTTTTTTTTTTTTTGATACTAACTGTTGACTACATCTCAATAACAGAGTTCATTCAAACTGTTATACTTTTTCTTACTTATCTTCACTCCCAATATTAAAATATAAGATGGGAAGAATTCCTAAACAAATGATAGTAGAATGGGTAGTTTCAAATCACATGTGTGAAACAGTTAACTGTTTAAAATCAAAAGTACAATGTTCACTAAGTACAAATTTAAGCCAGATGAAGTCAGATTTCATTCCTTATATCCCAATTAATGTTTTCCTGACTTTTCGAATTATCGAAACTAACTACAATCAGCAAAAATAAGCAGTAGAAAGCATAGCTGCATAGAGAATTTGAAATATCCCAAAGAAGGAACACAATTTTACTTCTTGCATTTTTATGAAGTGTTACAATTTAAATAAAGTATAATTATATTTCAATAGTTTACACACAATGATAAGTTTGTTACAATTTAAACTGATACTTTTGTGCATACTTTAAAAGTTTATGAAACGATCAGTAGATTTAATTTTGCAATGAATGGTAACAGAATTTATTTCATTGCTAACTGTCTCCAAGTGTTTACGTATATCAAGCAGATTTTGTTTTTGATCATTGCAATTGTATTGTAGATTAAGTGCACTAATTCGTGAAGTGAAATTACATGAATTAAGTTTAGCAGAAGAGTCACGATGCCACTTCAGACAACTTGACATACGTCGTCGTCAATGTGAATTGAATAAATTAGAACAGGAATTAACTCGATTGGTAAGCTGATAATATATCTGCTTATACATCATGTATCATACCTGTGCAGAATATCGTGTGTTGTTTTGCTGAAACTATTAGTCGTTTCCTGATTGAAAGAAGGAATGTTACGAAATCCCTAGTCGTTGATTACTGAAAGTTGTTTGATGCAATGACTATTTTCAGGTCATTTAGTTTAATTATTGTAGGGAACATAAAGTAAATGAGAATCCTTATAGTTTTAAGATTTGTCATATTGACTGAAGATATAATTTCTAAAATAGTGACTGATTTCTATGGGCATTTTAACTGCATATATCACTGTATACTCACATAGTGTCTGGCACACATACGTACGCAAGCATACTGTAACCTATATTTTCGATGTGAAATGGATAACTTTGTTACAATTCAACGTATGCGCATTTCTTTCATATGGTACATTTGTGTTGAAAACACTCAATCTTACTGTATTACTAACAGTAAATAGAGTTACTTACCGATCTTATATCATACTCCAACACTACTGAATACTACTGTGCAGATATTATAAATACGCAACACTTTTTATATAGCTACTATTAGGATGAACTTTTGCGTAGGCGTAATTGTTATGTGAGTTTACAAAGCTGTGTTTTCGGCGTTCATAAAGTATGAATTTCACAAAACTGTTAACTCATGGAAGAAGTTGGGCGAAGTAAATACAAGATACACTTTTTATTTAAGAAGATAGATTGCATTAATTGCTATCGCTCTTTAGTGGAATACTATTAAATTAAAGCTGTATCCGTTTCACTTTTAAGGCAAACTGTCGTGTCGACGAAATGGATGCAGCAGCATACGCTGCAGAATTAGCCGATCTACGCGAAAGATTGAACCAAAGACGTGCAGAAAATCTAGCCATCATGAATGATCAATTGCAATCCCAGGTGGATAAGAATTCGTTATCAAACCCTGGTCACCTTTTATTGGAATCCTCACTAAATGCCGGTGATTCCGTTCCATGTAATAGTGATTACGGTAAAAGTGCACTTGGTAAGACAGCACCAAAAGGAAGTAACGATGCTAATAATAAGGTAATCCTACTGAAATTCACTGTTTTTCTTCTTATTTTGAATGTGTTTATGTCACGTCATCACATTAATTGGTTATTTTTCACCACACCAACTCTATGTTAATCTTCGAAAAATCTAAAATCCTCTTGATTTATTTGAAAAAATAGTACGTTGATCTGTCTAGAATACCGGCTAAGTTAAACTTTAAGCACCACTAAATGCCGATGGAGTACGACCGCACCAATTACCCTGAAACGCTCACTGAGCGACTTAGAGAAACCTGGCAAAATAATGTTGTCATCATTAATAAAATATCCTCACCGAAGTGTTATGTTATTAAATGGGATTTCTGGCAAGTTTTAGCTTAGGTTGGGGAAAGATTAAGTTACTCTTTAGGCCAATGACAAGTTGAGGTTAGGTTAACCTAACAAAGGCGATAGTAGGTTTGATTCGAATTAGATTACTGTTAGTTTAGGGATATTTTCACGTAAGGATTAGGTTCAGGAAAGAATAGTGTTATTGTTAGGTTTAGAATACCTAAATAATTACATGCATAGAATGTGGTTAAATTACCATGTTGATATAAGAATAGAACTTGTGCACTGTAGTAGAGTATAATTCCATTGTAAAATTTATTTTGATAAAGTCTCAGGGTGTTGTACAGTAATATTTACTGATAACGTTTCGAGCACCATTTATTGCTCAGTAAATATTACTGCATAACATTATGAGACGCTATCAAAATAAATTTTACCTACAATGGAATTATAAGAAAAAGGCACAAACAGCGAAGAAAATTTTCTTTTCGACGATTCATTTTCATGAGCTGTACAATCGTAATTATAATTAACAAAGAAATCTTTAGACCAATCAGATACTGGTAAATTTTGTCCTTGGAAAATTGTATTACATAATGTAAGGTGTAAGAAGGGATGACTAATTGTAAGTTAGAAAGGAGACAGAAGTTGGCATGACGTAATAAGTGTGAGATAATGAATAATCAATAAGCTCGTGTAAAATGGACAGGAACTAGTGGAAAGGCTATAAAGTGTTTTTGTATAAAATATGTATGAAAAACAATGTTATTAATAAACAGTAATAGAGTGGTAATAAAATGTGGATGATGGGGACAAAATGATAATAAAAGTATTAATAAAATAAAATAATAATGGTGATAATAGTGAACTTACATAATAAAGGAAAGAAGCAAAATTGTGATAAGAACTTTACTCTGGCCATGGTAAGGCAAGAGAATGTATGTATCTCTTTTGTATGCAGAGGTCCGGAATTAATACTCTGTCGATACTCCAACCTGAAACTGAGAGCTATCTTTGTCACATGTGAGAGGAAGGTATCCTCTGTAACACTTTTATACAGTCTTTGTGCAATTTTTTCATAAATATATGTATTCCATACACAAAAATGCCTCCGTCACGTGATTGGTGCTTTTGGGGTCATTCGCTGATTGGCAGTTTGTGGTGCTTAAAGTTTAACTTTGCCAGAATACTATTAAAGTAGGAACTAATCATTGAGTTGAAACTTATATTTCAAATTTATTTACGCTTTCTGGGTTTGTTTTTAGCCCACGCCTCTTTTGACCTTAATCATCTTCTGTAACTTGTACATCCATACTTATGCTGGGTTATTAATATGCTTGATTCACCGTTAGCAGTTGCCTCTACTATTCAGGAAGTGACAAGTTCTGTCGGTTTTGTATCTTATAGTCTTAAAAGTTTCGAAGGTAATTTAGAAACACGGTTCAAATCTGCATTCAGGAAATCATTTCCTGACTGACTCGTTCATCGATTGATTGGTTGACTAAAAATTTTATCGAAAAGAGTACTCTTTGTTCCGTGTCCATTCTTTTGAAAATTTTAATGGGCATTTTTAATCAGTTAAAAAATTTACGTACAATTTCTCAAAGATGCGCTTCATTCGAAGTTGACAAACTTCAAAGAAGCATCCATTTTAGTCTCTTTTTTGACTTCAGTGTTCACCTAAGCCGTATCTGCATTTTTCATAATGTCTGATACCTACTTATCCCTTAATGTTTTTGTCCGAAAGCTCGAAGAAGTTTTGCATGATAGAGTAATAAGCTATCACTGCATCGAAAAATCTAATAATTATGAATTAGAAATGTTTGACTTTGTCATTACTGCTTAAAATCTAGACATTCGATATAACAGTCACTAATCGTAGTGATTTAACACAATGATATGAAATAAAATACAATTTAAGACATTGCAGTAAACAGCTGATTGTCTAACTCAATGGTATTATAAAGAACAAGACAACTATGAAATAAGTAGCTGATAATTGTCCCTTCTAAGCTAATCAGCTTGTTTATTGTTTTTAATACTATTTAGGAACTCCGACGGATTTCCTCAGAGATGTTCCCGTTCACATCAACTAAACTTGGTTCCCACTTCATGAAGCAATCGGTGTGAATATTGATTCATTCATAGAATTATAGAAACACGACGTTAATTCGAATATTATACTTGTCATATCATAAATACTGCTACAGTGTTTAAGTTTTTTTTCTAAAGGAAAAACCAATTTATACATTTATTGTCTATATGGTGGCTAAATAAGTGTTTTGGAATTCCCATTTATTTTCCTTCATACATTTCATATCAATCTGAAAGCTGACATCTCCTCTGCTTTATTGTATTGTCTCAGTTATTTTTAACTACATTAGCTCACTGTGACTGATATAAAAATAAACATATCACTCCTACAATTCAGTATGTTTCGCTTGCTTTCTACAAGAATTGTTGACACAGACGAGATGAGATAGTTTTGTCTTCGTTTTCCGAAAACCTGCTTCTTTAACTTGATAACTACATTCACTAATGTAAAGGTGTCGATAATATATTGTAAAAATATGTTGCTCATGTCATGTTATATTTATTGGTCGTTCAGTAATGGACTTATTGTTCAAATAAGGTCGTTGAAAAAAATAACAATATTTCGACTGTTCCTTGTAAATGTGTTTCAGGATTATTAGAATATGCACTATTCATAAGAAGCTTGCAAACACGTGTATGTATCTGTATCACATAAGAACTAATTACGCGGACTGATTTTTAGTATACTTCTATTCCATAGCATTATAGTCATTTGATTAAGTGATCAACAATTAATTTTTAGAAAAGAGAAGTGATAAATTATTGTAGATACTCAATAGGAAATTAACGTAGAACTTCTACTTCAGTTGTAATAGCTATAGTTAAAAAAAAACAAATACGAAATGAAAATAAGCAGAATAGAATAATACTGTGATAGAAGTGAACTTCTCCCTGGGTAAATAATTTAAGTTTGAAACATTTATTCACTGTAAATAGTCAAGTTTACGATTACACAATCCTGGAAATTTAACCAAAATTATTCTCAATGAAGCATATGCATTCACTGTCCTACTTCCTCGAAACTTTCCCTTATCAGCATTTATTCTTTTGTTTTCTGGTATATATTTGTCTAATTTAGGATCAATCATTCAAAATATGTCAGTTTCAGTGGGCATTTAGCGGTAAACGCGTGAAATCATTAGTCCATAGTAGTATCAGTATTTCCTTATGATTACTAATCTTCACCGTTCTAACGGACCTGCTAAGCTCAAGACAATCGGTTGAGTACACTTGTCACTTGAGATACTTGTTTTACGTTCAGTTTATCATACACAATTCCTGGTTATTAAAGCTTTTATCTTCATTTGGTATTAGAAATCCCAAAATGTGCATCTCATTCTAGACGTCAAACTTTTACTCTTGCTTTTTATCTGTCTTTCTGATCTGACGTTGTATAATTACAAGTGAGTTGGAAAAGACAGTCGCTAACATGAATGGACAAGAGACAAATTACAAGACAGAACAACATATATATATATATATTGTGGAAAATTTAGGAGGGTGGGGTTGAATAGTGAAATAAAATTGTAAAGTAAATAATTTAATTTAGTAGATTTGAAATAGTGTGTTCAACTCTGTGAGTGAAAATCAAAATCAAGATTGAGTGGAATGTCGCGCAACAGAACAAAACAATTACGGCTAACTGGGTAGTGAGAGATTAGTCACACTCTCTTTTGTATGCATAGATTGGGTCGAAGTCTTTTGATGGCAGTGGCTTCTGCGAACCGAAGTAACCATGCTTTTCTTTGTATATTGATTATTTTGAAAGCCTGACTAATTTCCACTGTATGTCTCATGCCAATTAGGTGCCTGGCATGAGCTTGTGAGTACTTTACTGCCTTGAAAACGGAGACTTTTGGGGATATGCTCATAGAATCTAGTATGCGCTCTCCTCTCAGTCCTTCGTATGTACTTCCTACCGCAAGTGCAGGTGAATTGGTAAATGCAGTTGGAGTTTATATACAGAGTAGAATACTTATCTACTTTTGACTGGGTTACCAAGCATACTGTTTTGTAAAGTATAATGAGTCTAGCTGCGGTAAATATTCTTTTTAGTGCACCTTTAATTCTGTTTTCCGTTTTTATGGATACTTCTTCGCCTTTACTCGCTACACAAATAAAAAATGGTTTATCTTCAAACATATTGGGTTTCGGTTTCAGTGGATTTTCCTTATCATATTTTGATATGAACTTCTAAGGGTATCCATTGTCGATAAGTTTCTTTTCGATGACTGCGAGTTCCTCTTCGATCGTATGTGCTCGTGACCAGAGTAAATTACTGACTCTGCAGTTGACAAATTTGACAGTCCTAATCCATTCCATTTGCTCTCTCAGATTCCCAGCACTTCTTTACCATATATTCTCATTTCTTTGGAGACCTGGGAAGCCTTCCAAACCTCATAAATTGTACATGCATTTCAAGTCTCCATTCTTATTCTTGCTTTCATCGAGAGAAGACACATTGGCTGACTAGCTTCCTAAAGGCTTTCGCGTCATTTCGCCTCTCCGATTATAGTGAAGAGTAAGCTTGTTTTTTATATTTTTCTTGTATTTTTAATATTTTTCTTGTGCGTCAAAGTTTCTGTAGCAGTTTGAATGGTTTTGTCGGGTAGGGTCGCTAGCCTCCCGCCCAACCCTCCCTCTTCAACCGGACTCGGGACCGGTTAGTAAACTAGGCGGGGTTATCTAAAATTAACACTAACCATTTTGATTCACTAATGTATTTTAATGACAAGAAAACAAGTTTGAAAATGCGTAGTATATTGACGCAGTTTATACAACTTTGTTCACAATCCTTTCCATCTTCACACTGTAAGACTCTAAACTGTCTCTATATTTGAAATTCATTTTGTAAAATTTTATTCATACGACTTTTGTTCTCATTCCAAATTGAAAAGGGATGTCTAGGTGGCACTTTCCGGAGATTGTTGTGGACAATGTGCGTAAAATAGGATAACTGCTGCTTTTTCTCTTTTTAAAAAATTCTTATGATTGGTTCTTATTAAACGCTACTAGTGTAAAAGCATCTTAATTTGCCTTCGGCAGTGCTCGTTCATTTTGTGGTCTTCCCTTTAACTCCCATTTCGGAACACATCCATTTTGTCTTTCAACTGGGTTCGATTCGCTCTAAGTCTGTCTTCGACAGGTAATCTTGCAACTGCTTCAAAGCTACCAAGTGTCCAGAGCTTTATAAATTGCATTCAACAGTTGTATTGTATTTCATTCCAAGTAATTCACAGTGGAAATCTCATCGAATCGTTTGAATTAGAGAGAAGAGTAGGACCAGACCGCCCACCATCAATAGTGAACTTAATTGCTGTCATGGACTTACTTATTGATGCGGTAGACCAAGAGTGGGATATTAGAAGACGCATATACGCTGGACCGACAAAAATACCCCAGAAGATCTGATGACTTATTTTTCATGTTGTACACACCCGTAGACTTCCGAGCAACGATCAAGGATTCGACGGAAGAGGCAGAGAAAACAGAAATATAGGTGCACATTGAGAAGATAAGGGTGATAAAGATTCCTTACCGACAACAAATCCCAATCACCATGAATGGGAGAAATGTAAATGAAGTTGTCTCTTTCACTTGCCTGAACTGGTAGCTTCGTTCCAACTTCAGACAAACGCCACGAATGAGGATGTCAAAACCATCCTGGGGCGAATCAGGCAAGCATAACAAACTACTATTACTGTAATGTCAACACTTAATTAACACTAAGAACATAATTCGAATTTCCAACACCAATGTCACATCAGTGCTTGCATTTGGTCCGAAGACTTGGTCTGTGCAACCTTTCAACGTGCTGATATGGACTCTTATCAACACCTATCTTAGCTGGTTGGATAATGAACATTGGTTGGCCGGCCAGAAAGAATAAACAACAAGGAATTTTGACAAGCAGAGAACCAACCAAAGACCTATGGACCAACAGATGTTGAGAAGGAAATTAGGTGGAAATAGACTGAGTAAACTGTCGACTGACAACACGCAGACTATCGAGTAAGAGAGGAAAGCGAGAGGTTTGAAGGAGGTCATATGGAGAAAAAATGAAACCTTGTGTTCTGTCATAATGTCAGTTTAAATTGGTAGCACAACTCCATATTAGTTTGTTTATTAGATAAAGCACACAGTGAAACAGTATTATTACTTTATTTATTTATCCAGTAAATAATACTGTTTCACTGTGTGATATATTTAATAAAAAACCCAATGTGGAATCACTTACTACCACAGTGCCCAAGTTTTACACATATATTGGTAGCACAACACCAAGTGTAATTGAGATATGCCGCTGAAACCCTATTTTCCACTTGGAATGCCCCCTAGAAGCTGTGAGTAAAGCATGTGGGAAGGAAAATCCATAGACATCATCCAAAACTTTTTGTTTATTTGAATGACGGTGTCAACAGAGACCTGTCCCAAATTATCAAAGCCTAGCGAAGCATTAATTGGTAGGAAGCTGCAAATTGTACTTGACGTTGTGATACTTAAGTTACGTGTAACTAATTAACCAACTGCCCACAATCTCTTGAGATTAGGTTACATGTGACTGACAGAGACTGCAGAGTATGGCACAGTAAGTGCATAGAAGTATTGATCATTGGCAAACGTGATAACATCATGAATGTTGTCGCAGTTCGGTCAGATTAGTGGACGCGACACAAAAGCGGACTATGACAGCGTGTCCCTACTGATAATAATTTATGGGTTTCGTACTAGTGGATGTGCTTCCAGTTTGATCACACGTAATTTTTCGTTAAAAAGAAGGAGGCGATATATGGTTCGACATCTACTCTGGAAATTTAATAGTGACAACAACCCTGGAACAATATGTCTAACAGTTGTTTCAACGAAAGTTAACCGATTTTATCTTTTTAAAAACAGGACCTACGTTTCTGGACATTATTGTTACATAGTGACTGGAATATTCCTGTTGATGTATATTTTCTTCTTGTTGTGTGAAAATGGCTTTTCCTGTCATATTGGTCCGTGTTCCCAGTTAAGTGGCACCATAAAAACGTAGCAGACATTTGTACAAAATTGGTAGTAAACAGACGATATCTGTGATTTCCGTTGATATAACAGTCTGTGAGATTTCTTTTGAAGGAAACATGGACAATGCTATGCAACCACAAACAACGCACACCCCGAAAAGAAAGAAGAGTTTTACAGGCAGCAGTGGACAGTACTCAAGTCAGTGACATTAAAGTAATAATGGAAGACATGACTAGACAACACAGGAAGAGAACTCATCATGTGTAGAGAAGCTCTCGGAGGGATGAGTGAAAACGGAGAACACTTCAATGAACTAATGATTGGAGGCAGCGTATACAAGCACAAGAATATCCACAAGGCTACATGGGTGTCACCAGACGGGCGAACCCAAAACCAAATTGACTTCATCTCAATGCTGCTCGAGAAAGCGGAGACGCAGCTTACTGGAGACAAAAGTAGGGAGAGGAGCAGACGTTTGCTCAGACCACTATCTCGTACAAGGAACACTCCAAATCAAATT